TAAAATGAGATATTTGGTAAATCGGGAGTGATGACTTTTCATCCAACTTTCAGGTCGTTCGTAAAATTACTGTGCTTATTAATGTGAAAATAAACTAATTACCGGGTAAGTAGATACATGTAGTTAATGATACCGCATTTAGTAGAGGAAAATAGCCCTTCCCTTTTAATTAAGAAATGGAAACGCCGTGGCCTTTCGAGAAGTTACACAATACAATTTAATTTATCGTGTTATATTGAACTCCATGTATATAAGTAAATCTATATTCCGCACCTTAAAAGATATTCGTTGAAAAACGCCCGACTGCAGAATCATTGTGAATATCTGACTCATATTTAATAGTGATCCACATTTTATCTGCGATGGGAGGGGAAGGGGGTAGATCTTGTGGAAATGCTGTGGTAAAACCACCATATTTTTTAAGTGGACTTTTATTAGGATAAAGAAATGACAATTGTTAACACCCTTTTGGGAGCTGATACCGCGTAAGAATTATGATGCATATTCTCTTATTCCTATATAGCGTATAATAATTATTTAAGCTGTTACAGGTGATTTTTGCTGAAGGCGATGCTCCCTATTTACGATCCCCCAACGATGTCAGGAATATGACAAGTCATCTATTGTGCTTAAATCATTTAAATCAGATACTCCTGGAATACATATATGATAGTAAGTCTTGAGTTGCTACATGCATCATGTGTCTCAAAATATTTAAATCATCAAAAAAAGCAAGCAAAGCATAAAAAGGCAATTGACCATTTTCAACAATTAAACTATATGACGTTTCGACAGTTTCAAATGTATCGATAGACCTTCATCCTTACTTTATAGAAATTAATTTCGACAAGTCAGTTTTACATTATATGCATGTCCTTGATTAGTTTCATATACTTTCTTTTAGTTTACCTTGGGTAGAGACTTTGGTGGTAAGCGCTTTATAAGCAACTTTTTTGTTATTGTTATTATTATTTTTATTAATATTACATACGACCCAGTTCTACACTCCTTCCTACTCGCCTCGCTGGTGACATTTGAGTTTGTCTGCCCAACAGCTGGTCTGTGCGATAATGAGTGTATTCGCAGTCAGATGTGATTAGGTGCGTGGGGTGCCCTTATGACAGTACGTTCTAGTTCATCGTGTTTGTCATTAAACAAAGTCACCATGCAGGCTCGCTGCATAGTGACTTAGTGATATGGGGCATGGGGGCACGCCTCCCCCCCCCCCCCCACCCATTTGCTGGTTTGTGCGATAATGAGCATTTTCGAAATCAAATGCGATAAGTTTTCGTGGGGTGTCCTTATGACAGTACCTTCTAGTTCATCGTGTTTGTCATTAAACAATGTCACCATGTAGGCTCTCTGCATCATGACGTAGTGATATGGGGCATACGAGTACGCCCCCCCCCCATAATCGAGTGTTATGAGAAGAAAAAAAGCTAGAAAGGGGAACTGAAAAGGGAGAATGGAAAGGACGTGAAAAGAATACGCATGTACCACCCCTGCACTCTCCCCTAAACCGTAAGCCTTGTAAATTTGCATATCATTTTCTGAGTAATACCTGTGCCCCCTCCCACGAATCGTTCCAGTACCCCCTCAATATGATGACTCACACTTCGCCACAGTCCTTGCACCTTGTAAGTCAAGATGGCAGGATAGCTGCATCATGATCTTCATCTTAATTATTCCCACACGAAAATTAAGAAAAATGAATTATGTACCTGTAGGAGGCGGGGAAAATTATTTTCGAATTAAACGCAAAAAACAGAGATGGCGTAATATCTAGAAATACCTCATTACGTTATATAGTAGCTCTCAATAAATTACTTGACATGGAAGTAAGTATATTTTTTTCAAGATGGTGTTTTTCTAAATGGATAAACAGAATATGACTTACATGTATCATAATATCATTTCTTCTTTCATTCAAATCATTATCATCATCATCCTCATCTGCATTGTCAATATCACCATCATCAAAATTTGTATTTTCAAATACCTATCCGTTCTGCTTAATAAATGTGTTAATTTATTTCGTGAGTTTTGTCTGGGGCTGTCGTATTATCAAGTATCTTATACTTGCTTATTTATTATTCACTGTCAGAAAAATACTTATTGTACTTTATATTATTATTGTTATGGAAAAACTGTGTACTTACATGAATGCAGAAGAAAATTAAATCAAATCAAAAATCAAATCAAATGAGGAAAAGTCATCCATGCTAACTTGTTTCCAACGGTCTCTTTATAACTAGCCCCTCCCTCCCTCCCTCCCTCCCTCCTCCTCCTATTCCTCCTCCTCCTATTCCTCCTCCTCCGGCATCAACTTCGATGGGCGGACGCATAAAAACAAAATGTGAGGGTATTATAAAGGGAACGGACTTTTTTCTTTAAAAAGACATTAGCATAATTATTTAACATCTAATAATGAATAGATCAATCTTAATTTAACTTTTGGAATAACATTTGGTCTTTTTACCAGGCTGCTGCACCGGGAAAAACTGTATTTTATAAATAGAAAACGAGAATAACATGATCTAACTAGATCGAGAAATAGTATTATCAGTTGATTTTTAAACTATCCTCTTTTTTTATCGAGAAGTGTCATCTAACCTTGGAAGACCAAGAAAAACCGCTTCATTGACCAGTTCATTAGCCAAATGTAATACATAAGTCTTTATGAAGTGCCTCAATACAAATTATTTCATTCACCTGCAAATTGCAGTAAGGTAGTTGTTAGGTAGGACAAGCCTTAATTTTGTCCAACCTGGCAACAACTAATGTATGCAGTTCGGATTCTGTCTATTGGAATACTATTATTCTTAATATCAGGTCAATGAAACAGTTTGTACCAAGGCGCTTCACAAAGACGTATGCATTATAATTGTTTACATTACGAAAATAGCCTATTAGGCTTAATGAAAACTGTTTTAAATCACTTTTGTGTACTTTCATTCTTTTAGGTGTTTAAAAAAATACTGCTCAGTCACATCATGGACCTACTACAAATGGACACTGATCGGTACCATAATACATTCATGCACCTGACTCTGTCAAAAGTATCATAATAACATTCCAAACATGCTTCCAAGCTCTGATCTCATCACGACCGCCGCCAGTCAGCCATAAAAAACCCAAACTGTGCCTTGACGAATCAACAAAATGCATGCGCAAAAGAAACCGAATCGCTTAAAATCACGGAAATGCATTAGCCGTTGTGGCGTACATAATTATGAATATTGACGTATATGAAGTTTTCAATAGGAAATTAGAAGTAGTTTACAAGAGATACCTGTAAATTTGGCTGTTATTAAATGATTTTAAACTTCATTAGAAAAATTATCCTATCCATTTCCAAGAAATAGAAGGTAATAGGACAGTAAAGTATAGGTATTTTTCAAAGTTTGGCGAGTCCAAATTTATGTCCACCAGTGTCCACTTCTTCAATAATCAATCTAATATCACACAATTTTTCCTAATTTAGGGTTCACTGCTCCTCTAATTGGTCTTAAATCATGATACTTTTCCTAAAACTACATTCTTGGCCCTGGCCCAGCGAAAAGAATCTGAAGAAATGTAAAATGTTCTTTTGTCTGTGATGATGCCGGATTGCATAATCAGCATTGTCGCGTCAAATGAATGTCCTCATCAACATACACATTATCAAGCGGCCGTGGTCATGATATAATCAAAGAAAGACTCTCATTATTAGTCCATCTGTAGTAGGGTCCATTGTCACATCAAGGAGTTTTTAAGAGCTATTCCAAGCAACTGCCGTTTTCAAAGGTTGCACCATAGAAATCTACACAATAGAATCTACCTTCGAGGTTCTAAGCCGCCAATATCATTGGAAAGCTTGAGTAGTAATTTTTCTCACAAAGAAATATCGTTAATACTTCACTTTTTATTTGAAATAACAAGGGGATAATCGAACAGATGATGATTGTTTCACAAAGTTTGCTTAAATTGTATAATAGCAGATTCAATTTGTGAAAAATAGTAACATTTTACATTCCTAAATCCTGCAATTTGACACTTTTCCTATTACTTCCGGCTCACGAAAAAAAGTGAATTTGTTCATGAACAGTTCTTTAAGATGTTATATGTCAGATTAGTGCCCAAACATACCCAGTCGAGTAATTTTGATTAATATTTCTTGAAATGTTGTTCCATTTCCTTTCGCTTATCTCCTGTGAAGGTAAGCACTGTGTACTGCTCGTATTATCAGACGAGTGGTAGCGAAAAGTAATTATCATTACAAAAGCATATTTCCCTTTGAAAGTGGCCCGTTAGTTTGCAGCTCGGCAGGAATCTTTTGTTTGTCTACGTATCTGCATAAAGATCCAGTTAGGCACATGCCTGACATATTTTCTCCTGGCGGCATCGAATGGAAAGAGCTAGATATAACTCCATCTCTTAAAACTCCTTGGTCACATGCATTGAGATACATGCCTCAATCATATTAATGGGGTCACCGCACTCACGCACCTGTTAGAATTCAACCACTTCTTTTCAATAATGTCTCGTCTACATACATTTTGTATTGATATGTCGGGCAAACCCACTGCAGCATGTCTCTGATATAGACCAGTAAGCTAACATATTCAAATGTTGGATGTGACTTTCCTTTGAACCTAGTGACGAGTTATTCCATTAACCTGTTATTAATGAATGAACAACAATACTTGGAATCCAGTCTACATTTAATACTTGCTGCGATGTCGGGTATGAATCGGGCAAACTTCTCGGGATGTCAAAAATACCTTTGTTTAAAAAGAAAGCACTTTGAATATGTTAGTTAACTGGTCTAATGGTATCGGTTTAACTTCAATTCAAGCGAAAATATGGCGTGATTGCATGCTATTTAACGTATTCTTTTCATATTCAAATGATGTCAAGCATTAACTTGTATATTTCTTAATTCAAATCGACGTATATAAAGGATTTTTAGAGGAATTGACCTACTCCACTAGTCCACTTGTCCGTTGTTGTTTCACCACACATGTACTGCGGAGCTGGGACAGCATCACTTCTAGGTAAATCCTTGTCAATTTCGGGGCGTGTCACATCGGACCTACCGTCGCCAAAATCGTCTTAACTCTGTTTACGCTCTTTCAATATGGGCGTTGTGGAAGCCGTGCTCGTATCGTGCTTGTTCCTAGGCTCATTGTTGTGCCTAACATCTGCAGCCAGTCTCAAGAGCATCGATGACGATGCAACAAAAGTAAGTAGAATCGAGTAGTTGGCCATGTAGAAGTTGCGACGTTAAAGGGACTTTGTAACATTGTTCAGATGAGAGATAGTGGCGCTAAGGTAGTGACTTCAATGCTAGATGTACAATTAAAGATGATCTGAAAATTTGAGCAAAACGGATCATTATTTATGGTACAAAGTGGGAAAAACTGATCCGATCGATTTCTTAATTCTCCCAACTATATTATTAAAATTTAATTACATTTTACGTGAATGGAATCTCACAAAGCAATAAAATGGCTCTACATTCCATTCCAAACATTTAAGTGTTGACAGATTTTTTATAGCCTGTTTTTATTTTTATTTTTTTTAATGGAAAAACGGTTGGGAAAATTTTTAATTGTTGGGAGAATTTAGATTCAGAAGCGCCGCACATCGACGCCCGTTCTAAAACCCGTTAAACTTTGTTTAAAATCTTCATATTGCGTAAATTAATTTCGGATTTGGGGCATCGTAGTTGGATAATCCATACATTCAAACATAATTTTACGGTTTTGCATCCTGATTCAACAGATTTGTGAATCAACCATCACAATGTTACTAAGTACCTTTAACCGCGCACACGTGCGGAGGGCCTAATAATGTCTTTCACCCCCAAAAAATCACTTTAAGTTTGCGTTTGCGAATGGAGTATCAAATAAATATTGAGATGTCGTTTTAAAATCTTTGTATGCAGTATCAGTTCTTGGACTTATTTAAAACATTTTAATCGTATTTCGAGATGTCGAATGCAGGTTTTGATGTTTAAATTGCTTTTGTTATATACATGCTATTGGAGAACCAACATTTAAATAGTCGATTTGTCTAATGTCATTCCGATATCACTTGTACCATGTTTGCTTAGTGTTGTTGGTGAAGACTAGAAACTCGTTCTGCATCGAAATCTTATTCATAATTATACCCTCAAAGAATATTAAAGTGTAGGTATTCTGAAAAATGAGATGTATTCTTGCCCTTTGATGTAAACTATTCCTTACGAAAGTGTACATGTACAATAAATATATAAATGAAGCTTTTCTTGGCAAGATATAGTGCCTTTTAACATGACATGGGCGCAGTCATTTTCTAGAAAATGTGACGTGCCAGGCGAACTTGTACATGAATCATGCCCGCCCCCCCCCCCCACCCCCACTCCCCCCCCCCACTCCCCCCCCCCCACTCCCACTCCGGATCGGAATGACCGCATGCGTGTTACCAAAATGTCCGGTAAAGGGGTACTTTTCACGCACCAAAGTCCGGCTCGTACATACACAAAATTGACTTTACACACCGCGGACTTGGTGTGTTTTCAAAAGGAGGGAACACGATTATGCGTACCCTAAATAACACTGAGTGGGGGGGCAGGAATCATGCACCAAGATTTAATTGGAAAGACACTTTAATTCTATAAAACTTTACATTTAAAATAAGGGAAAATCATAGCTCAGAAGGTAGAAATCATATTTAATGAAAAATATATAACAAGTGAACAATTTTAAGTCATTCATTTCAAAATACTAAACTATAGCAGTTGACAAAATTATTTAATTAATGCGAAACCTTCACCTCAGAAGAGCACCAAATTATGTATGCAATATGCGTTCTGGTAATAGTACAAATGATAACAGCAGATGAATGAAATAGTTCATCACCACACATCTTGGGAAGGAAGCATCCATAAATTTGAATATTTACTTGATAAACGACTTCACATAGTACGTCACGTTATCAAGAAATAGCGATGCACATGTCGTGCTAAGAAAATGTACCTTTTCTTGCTCTATGCCTCTTGTACACTAGTGAGAAATCTTGTAGATTAATGGGCAAGAATACAAAAAAGTCTCTCAGAAATAAAGTTATTTCTTGGGATTAGGTTACCTTTAGTATACTATAACATGTCACGATGAGTTCATTTACTCTATTTTATCCCTCCATACAGTATATTGACCAGATCAAACGGCAAATTAGCCCAGATGTCCTATCGAAGCTTCGTAAGTATCTTTGTTTAAACCGTGATGGCTGACTAAAGGTGGCGCTATTTAACAGCCATTTATAATTTTATTGATCATGACTTGCGTCTGTGCCTCAAGTAACTGTAAATGAAATTTTAGACAAGACTCATCATTTTCCTTCTTGGCATATGCAGAACTAATGTCTTCTAGGATTTACAAGTTTAAATGTGGGTATAAAAGATTCGTATAAAGGGGAATTGTAGAATCAGTTTTAGGAAATGATTAAAAATACTTTGAGAAAAAAGATTTACCAGGATTGGAATTTTTTTTAAAGCCAAGCTCCCCAAGATGATACATCAATATTTGTGTATGGACGTGCACGTAATCTTTAAAACTCTCTCCTGTTTTCGAGAATGAAAAATAAAGGAGCTAGGAGGGGAAGTTAAGTTGTACCTTAAAACAACTCGATCACGATTAACACAATAGCAAAGAATTTCAAAATATCAACTTAGGCAATTTCAATAGCCTATCTTTCATCTCATCACCTTAAGCGTGCATCGACGTATTTCGTAATCCAAATATGAATTACATGGGATAGGTTACAGGGATTTCTCGAAAGTTTATACGACCATGTAGTTTACACGACCATGTAGTTTACAATCCCTAACCCCAACCCTACACAATACAACCTTTGCTTTTTAGTAGACCCCCACTTTATTGATATATTTATATGATTGTATCCTCTGTTATTACTATTACCATGTACATTATGTTTTCTATATTCAATTTTTAGTTATAATAATTACGATGTTCATTACGTTCAATTATGTTATCTTTGATAAAGTGAAATAAATAAACTTGAAACTTGAACCCTATATTCTACCAGCTTTCTGCCAGCGATATGACGGGTCTCGGGGGTTCCGTTGCAGTGACGGTGGTTGTGTACGATTGAGGGAGGTTTGTGATGGCGCACCAGACTGTACTGACGTCGTCGAAACGGCCGATGATGAGGACCCGACGTACTGCTCAGTAAATAATCTGGAAGAGGTATTATGTCCGAGGCATATTTATCAATAAACAGTAATCTTTCCTGTTAGTGTGGTACGGTATGTCACTGAAGCAGCTCCCGTAGGTTTTTTGTGCCAATTTTTTTGTCTTCTTTTTTTTTTTTTGCATTTTTGGATTCATTGTGGTCCAAGCTATCAGAAATTGTTGGAGTTAAAATTTTCCCGAAGACACCAAATTTCCCTATTGCGCTTTATATAAGCCATTTTGGCGCCCAATATGGACCCCCAGGAAATGAAGGAGGGGTCTGAAAATTTGAACCCCATCATTTTGGCCAATTGGGACCCTTTTGAAGCCAAAACAGCAAACAAAAATCAACTTTGGCAAAACAAATCCTACGGGATTACATACCATACCGCACTTTGTGCTACAAACCCTGTGTATTACAAAACAAGAATTAATGTGGACGTTTTTGTAACAACCCATCACATTCCCAATGTCTTTCTTGATTTAAAAATGTTCTATGATATCCACAAATATAATTAATGAAAGCATTTACAACCTAAAAATTATACTAAATCTTTACCCAAGGTATTAAACATTGCGTGATCTAAATGTTGGCTAATTAAACTATGTGAAAAGGAAACGCCTCAGAGCTTTTTTGTAATTGCCTGAATAAAGGGCGATCATTAGGGCAAGGTATGTCCCTTCCATTACCAAGTACTACTGAGTTCTATTATGGACATTGTTCCCCCCCCCCCCCAAAAAAAAAAAAAAAAAAAAAAAAAATCATAAAAGTATATTTTTTCTGATACGAGCTCTTATAGGGTAGTTTAATTGTTGCAGGTATCAGATATAATTAAAGCTGACATGTGGTGGGTAACAAAGTGGGACACAATGGCTCAATTTGCTTATGAAGAATCTGCAATGTTTTACAGTTTTAATGTGGTCGGTTACAACCCACTCCCCCCCCCCCCCCTCTCCTCCTCCCCTCTCCGACAACCGGCATTAAATCAATCATAAATTTTGAACTTACTATAATGGTATTCTTTAACTTCCCGTCAACTCTACTCGCTTCATTTTTTAAATGCTGCTTTTATTTCATCGAATTGTTTAATCATCGCTCTTTCATCTGTCCTCTAATTTTCATGTTTATCATTAATCTGTAAAACCTTCCCTTGTGTATTTCTTGAACCCAGCCCTGTAGCACCTACCAGTGTGCTGGTGGCCAATGTATCTCATGGGAAGCAACGTGTGATGGTGACCCTGAAGACTGTGGCTACACTGGGGAGGACGAGAGCGCAGCACTGTGCGGGGTGACATGCCCTGGTGACGTCAGAAGGTTCCATTGTGACAACTCGGTGAGTTATAACACCTACGTGGATCCTTGTCATTTGATTGGAGGATTGTTGGTCACATGATATACAATAGATATTATATTGCACGGTCGTGCATTTTTGGTTATATGCAGACTGCGTACCTCTCTGCCGTGCGCGTATCCCTGCGTGTATCTGACGCGAAGGCAATCTGAATGTAATCGAGAAGGCTGAACTCCAACTTTAATTTATCTTTAATATAAGGAGTAAAGAATAATTTGTTTATTAACGTTCTATTAGATCTTCTTCGATGTTGTATAAAACGAATCGTAACCATTCATTATTTGTATACTAATAGATGGAGAGAGTGAAGGGGAGACTGAATGAAATGGAAAGGTGAAGGAGATACAAAGGGAAAGGGGAATCAAATTAAACAGGAGAGAGAAATAAGGCAAAGAGAAAAATGAGAGTTAATCGACAATGAAAAAGATGGATGAGAGAGAATGATAACATCGTCATAATGCCCGTCATAACGTTGATGACAACAATCGTAATAGTTTTTATATAAATTAATAATCAGGGTATTAAAAATATTACCTTGTGCCTGTTTTTCCACTCATCGTCTAGATTTGCATTGAACGATCCCTGATCTGCGACCTCCGCTGTAATTGTGACAACTGCGATGACGAGGCTGGCTGTGCCTCATTCACACATACATGTGACGACGATAAGCAGTTCAGATGTGATGACGGTACTTGTATTCTTAACGAACAGCTGTGTGATGGGAAGACGGTAAGCTTGATATCAGTGTTTAGGAATTAAATAACTCCGCTATGAACTATATAATATTAGGAATATTTCGTATCCATAGAGGGGCTTAAGTGATTCAAATGTCTTGACCAAAATAATTTATCACATTCCACATGTATTTCTATCCTACCGGCTGTGAAATGATAAGTGATGATACCAGGACAAAACATTGGTCAATGGTCATAATGAAATAAGTATGCTTTCAAACATAACTTAAATGTGCCCCGCCCTATTTTAATTTCAAAATTAAGTAGAATGATTCTGTAAATATGATTTCGAAGTGTCTAGTAAATGTGAAACATAATTAATTGTATACACATTAAATCAACTTTCCATCAATTATTTCTGAAAGTAATTTTGGGCAAGTTTTTGAGTGTTTTTGTGAAGACAGGGTAATTCAATTGCGTTTCTATAATAAGAATAAAGGCATTATAGATGTCATGCTCTATGTTTCCTGATTAACTGGTCAAATCCAAGATGATCACCATTTGGAAATAAATTATTATTAATTTGCTTCTCTTTATCCAGGTGTAGTAATCAGATGAGAAGGTCCTAGATACTAATCGTCGAAATAATACCCCCCCCCCCACCTCAAAAAAGGAAACGGAAGCTCTTATTACCAATCATGTGAAAGAATATGTTTTGAATAATGATAAAAATTTCGCCGGGAAACCGCCTCCTAATTGATATATTTGGTAAATTGTCATATCCATCCGGCCTGGAGAGATATCGCGTAGTCCCATACAGGGGCGTACGCAGAGGGGGGGGGGGGGGGGGGGGGTTGGTTGGGGGTTAACCCCCCCCCCTTGGTATTTTTATGTGTGTAAACCCCTCTTTAAAAAAAAACCTAAACCCCCCCCCCCCTTTGGTGTTTTTTGGTTTGTTTTAATTATAAAAAAAAAAAAATTAAAAGTGTCCGCTTACCCCAACCCCCCCCCCCCCCCCCCCACTGAGCGACTTCTCGGGCGGCGCGATTTTCAAATTTTCGGGAGCAAAATATTTTGGGCCCGATTTTTACCCCCCCCCCCCTTGAAAAAATCCTGCGTACGCCCCTGGTCCCATATACATCTTTCTGTGTACAGAGTGCTTGTAACTTTACCAAGACTGGGCCAAATTTCTATCATTTTGATGATTCCAGAACCTTGCATTATCCACCAATGCTTATATTCTAGATGATCAACCTTTTCTGATCGATTACACAACGTTTCTATCACAATGCAATCGCATGACCAGAAGTCAACTCAAATTTGATTGATTTTTCTCATTCAATCTTGGTCAGGACTGTAAATCGGGCGGAGAGGATGAAGAAGGCTGTGTGGATGAATATGGATGCCACATTCGACGAGAGTTTTACTGCGAAGTGAACTATAAATGTCTTCAACGTGATAGACGGTGTGATGGTACGGTGGACTGCCCCGGTGGAGATGATGAGAAGGCGTGTGGCCTGAATACGTGCTTCAAATATGAGTTCCAATGCGCAAGCGGTGAGTCTATTTTGTTTGGTTGATTAAATGATTGTGCGTGCGTGCGCGTTTATGTCTGTCGGTTTTGTGAGTTTTTTGGGGATAAACTTTAAGAATTGTGTAATTGAATTTCTATTCATTTGAAGGTTAGAGAATGTATTAAACTATTATTACAAATATCTTGTATTTGATAGGCCTATATTTTAAAATTAGTAATGACAATAGGAAAGCGTGTTGGGTACTTGTCAGACAAAACAACAATATGTATGAACGTCCATGCTGAATAGTGAAATTATAATAATCTTTAACTAAGTGAATGCAATTAATTCTCGTCATTTGACAGTACGAAACATCCTTTAAATAATTACCATTGTAAACACATGATGATTGATCTTTCTTTCGTAGGTAAGTGCATCGAGAAAGAAAAACGATGTGACAATGTTATTGACTGTCCATCGCCGGGTGAAGACGAATTGGGATGCAGTCGAGAATGCACTGAGGAAGAATTCAAATGCCTTGACGGGGAATGCATCCCTCTCTACCGGGCCTGCGATGGTTTTGCCTTCGACTGCAAGTCTTACTTCGGTGAGGATGAGGAGGGGTGTGGTCAGAGAGAATGTCCTCAAGACTGGTATTCTTGCTTCAACGGCAGGTGTCTCCCAGAAAACTTTAGGTGCGATGGCGAACCTGATTGCAGCTTTGGCGAAGACGAGACCGACTGCGTAGAACCGGTGTGTATTTTGATACCATTTGAATGCAAAGTCCTTGATGAATTAAAAGGCCAAGTCCAATCCCAATAAACAATTTGCCTTTAATATATAGATGCAGAAACATAAGAGAAACAGAGCCAAACAAATTTGGATTAAAATATGATAAATAATAAGAAAGTTGTGAAATTTTGAAAAAGTATGGAAAAACAGAAATCACTACACAAATTGCCGTTTTGGTTAACAGTTTGTGACGTCATTGCCTCACTATCTATCAAGTTCCTTATATATTTTTTATCCCATTAATTTATCCCCTATTTATCCCCTAAAACTTGATTCCCCCAAAACCTGATTTCCCATGCCTTTGCCCAGGATCAAAATAACTTGGATGCTGGCATGAGGAAATAAGATTCTTCGGGGGAAAATGGGAAATTTATCAATATAAAGAAAACAATTAGTGGATAGTGAGGCAATGACGTCACAGACTCATGAGTGAGTTGCAAATTTATCTTGTGATTTTCAAAGTTGTTCATGTCATTAAAAATTCATAACTTATTAGTAATCCGATTTTGCTCAAACTTTAACTTTTCTGCTTCTATCGAAAGTAAGTATGTTTGGAATGGACTTGAGAAGCTTTATTTTCTTTCTATTCCTAACAGTCATTTCAGATAAAAAGGTTTGTTGATTGAATCCGCTCTTTAACTTAAAATTGAAGAAGGATCTTGACTCTTATACACAAGATGTTCTGGGTCATCCTTGCTCGGTGCTTACATCATTTTTGTTATGGCAAGGAATATATATGTATAATAAACATTTGCCCCTCTCGACCCACGTATATTGAATGGTTGCCTGGCAGTGCTTCCAGCAAGGGTGATAATAGGTGCATGGCCCATGGGAAGAGCAATAATAATTATTATGAAACTACCCTAGATGGTTGGATCATATTTTCATCTATAGTTGCTTTATGATTGTCTAAACCGCCATGTGATTAATTACTTCATTGTGTTCTACCAACTTTCCCATTCACAGATTATATCACCTTGTGCACAAGATGAGTTTAGCTGTGGCAACAGCATTTGCATCGCTGAATCACGGCATTGCAATGGCTACAATGACTGCTATGATGGAATAGATGAAAAGAACTGCAACATAGAGTCATGTCCTACAGGACAGGTTGATTGTGGCAACAACTATTGTGTTGTTGGAGCCAGATGTGATGGAGTATCTGACTGCAGCAACGGACAAGACGAAAGTGGATGTCCACCAACCATAGTTACGTGTCCAGCAGGGCGTGTTGATTGTGGCAACAACTACTGTGTCGTTGGTAGCAAATGTGATGGAGTATCTGACTGCAGCAACGGACAAGACGAAAGTGGATGTCCACCTACAATAGTTACATGTCCCGCAGGGCGTATTGATTGTGGCACTAACTATTGTGTTGTTGGAGCCAGATGTGATGGAGTATCTGACTGCAGCAACGGACAAGACGAAAGTGGATGTCCACCTACAATAGTTACATGTCCCGCAGGGCGTATTGATTGTGGCACTAACTATTGTGTTGTTGGAGCCAGATGTGATGGAGTATCTGACTGCAGCAACGGACAAGACGAAAGTGGATGTCCACCTACAATAGTTACATGTCCCGCAGGGCGTATTGATTGTGGCACTAACTATTGTGTTGTTGGAGCCAGATGTGATGGAGTATCTGACTGCAGCAACGGACAAGACGAAATCGGATGTCCACCTACAATAGTTACATGTCCCGCAGGGCGTATTGATTGTGGCACCAATTATTGTGTTGTTGGAGCCAGATGTGATGGAGTATCTGACTGCAGCAACGGACAAGACGAAAGTGGATGTCCACCTGCAATAGTTACATGTCCCGCAGGGCGTATTGATTGTGGCACTAACTATTGTGTTGTTGGAGCCAGATGTGATGGAGTATCTGACTGCAGCAACGGACAAGACGAAATTGGATGTCCACCAACAATAGTTACATGTCCGGCAGGGCGTGTTGATTGTGGTAACAACTACTGTGTCGTTGGTAGCAAATGTGATGGAGTATCTGACTGCAGCAACGGACAAGACGAAAGTGGATGTCCTCCTACAATAGTTACATGTCCGGCAGGGCGTGTTGATTGTGGCAACAACTACTGTGTCGTTGGTAGCAAATGTGATGGAGTATCTGACTGCAGCAACGGACAAGACGAAAGTGGATGTCCACCTACAACAAGTACATGTCCTGAAGGGCGTGTTGATTGTGGCAACAACTACTGTGTCGTTGGTGTTAGATGTGATGGAGTATCTGACTGCAGCAACGGACAAGACGAAAGTGGATGTCCACCTACAGTAGTTACATGTCCCGCAGGGCGTATTGATTGTGGCACCAATTATTGTGTCGTTGGAGCCAGATGTGATGGAGTATCTGACTGCAGCAACGGACAAGACGAAAGTGGATGTCCACCTGCAATAGTTACATGTCCGGCAGGGCGTGTTGATTGTGGCAACAACTACTGTGTCGTTGGTAGCAAATGTGATGGAGTATCTGACTGCAGCAACGGACAAGACGAAAGTGGATGTCCACCTACAATAGTTACATGTCCGGCAGGGCGTGTTGATTGTGGCACCAACTATTGTGTTGTTGGTGTTAGATGTGATAGAGTATCTGACTGCAGCAACGGACAAGACGAAAGTGGATGTCCACCTACAATAGTAACATGTCCTGCAGGGCGTATCGATTGTGGCACCGACTATTGTGTTTTTGGAGCCAGATGTGATGGAGTATCTGACTGCAGCAACGGACAAGACGAAAGTGGATGTCCACCAACAATAGTTACATGTCCGGCAGGGCGTGTTGATTGTGGCAACAACTACTGTGTCGTTGGTAGCAAATGTGATGGAATATCTGACTGCAGCAACGGACAAGACGAAATCGGATGTCCACCAACAATAGTTACATGTCCGGCAGGGCGTGTTGATTGTGGCAACAACTACTGTGTCGTTGGTAGCAAATGTGATGGAGTATCTGACTGTAGCAACGGACAAGACGAAAGTGGATGTCCACCTACAACAAGTACATGTCCTGAAGGGCGTGTTGATTGTGGCACCGACTATTGTGTTTTTGGAGCCAGATGTGATGGAGTATCTGACTGCAGCAACGGACAAGACGAAATTGGATGTCCACCTACAATAGTAACATGTCCGGCAGGGCGTGTTGATTGTGGCAACAACTACTGTGTCGTTGGTAGCAAATGTGATGGAGTATCTGACTGCAGCAATGGACAAGACGAAAGTGAATGTCCACCTACAACAAGTGCATGTCCTGAAGGGCGTGTTGATTGTGGCAACAACTACTGTGTCGTTGGTAGCAAATGTGATGGAGTATCTGACTGCAGCAACGGACAAGACGAAAGTGGATGTCCACCAACAATAGTTACATGTCCGGCAGGGCGTGTTGATTGTGGCAACAACTACTGTGTCGTTGGTAGCAAATGTGATGGAATATCTGACTGCAGCAACGGACAAGACGAAATCGGATGTCCACCAACAATAGTTACATGTCCGGCAGGGCGTGTTGATTGTGGCAACAACTACTGTGTCGTTGGTAGCAAATGTGATGGAGTATCTGACTGCAGCAACGGACAAGACGAAAGTGGATGTCCACCTGCAATAGTTACATGTCCCGCAGGGCGTATTGATTGTGGCACTAACTATTGTGTTGTTGGAGCCAGATGTGATGGAGTATCTGACTGCAGCAACGGACAAGACGAAATTGGATGTCCACCAACAATAGTTACATGTCCGGCAGGGCGTGTTGATTGTGGTAACAACTACTGTGTTGTTGGAGCCAGATGTGATGGAGTATCTGACTGCAGCAACGGACAAGACGAAAGTGGATGTCCACCTACAACAAGTACATGTCCTGAAGGGCGTGTTGATTGTGGCACCGACTATTGTGTTTTTGGAGCCAGATGTGATGGAGTATCTGACTGCAGCAACGGACAAGACGAAATTGGATGTCCACCTACAATAGTAACATGTCCGGCAGGGCGTGTTGATTGTGGCAACAACTACTGTGTCGTTGGTAGCAAATGTGATGGAGTATCTGACTGCAGCAATGGACAAGACGAAAGTGAATGTCCACCTACAACAAGTGCATGTCCTGAAGGGCGTGTTGATTGTGGCAACAACTATTGTGTCGTTGGTGGCAAATGTGATGGAGTATCTGACTGCAGCAACGGACAAGACGAAAGTGGATGTCCACCTACAATAGTTACATGTCCCGCAGGGCGTATTGATTGTGGCACCAATTATTGTGTTGTTGGAGCCAGATGTGATGGAGTATCTGACTGCAGCAACGGACAAGACGAAAGTGGATGTCCACCTGCAATAGTTACATGTCCGGCAGGGCGTGTTGATTGTGGCAACAACTACTGTGTCGTTGGTAGCAAATGTGATGGAGTATCTGACTGCAGCAACGGACAAGACGAAAGTGGATGTCCACCTACAATATTAACATGTCCCGCAGGGCGTATTGATTGTGGCACCAACTATTGTGTTGTTGGTGTTAGATGTGATGGAGTATCTGACTGCAGCAACGGACAAGACGAAAGTGGATGTCCACCTACAATAGTTACATGTCCCGCAGGGCGTATCGATTGTGGCACCGACTATTGTGTTGTTGGAGCCAGATGTGATGGAGTATCTGACTGCAGCAACGGACAAGACGAAAGTGGATGTCCACCTACATTAATTACATGTCCTGAAGGGCGTGTTGATTGTGGCAACAACTATTGTGTTTTTGGAGCCAGATGTGATGGAAAATCTGACTGCAGCAACCGACAAGACGAAGAGGGCTGTTCATTTCCAGTTGTAGGTAAGAAACAATAAATAGATAAATAATTGTATGCGCAGGATTGGCGGGTACTAGTCATCTCCAGATGGTCATTAAAATGTTGTCTCATTGATGCTAATCACTATTTCTTTAAGCCCATCAGCACTCATGCAACTACAATATGGGTGAATCTTTCTCCACAATATTCTTTACTTGACCTTAAGCTCTTGTAAGCTAGAACTTTATTGTAGACTTGTATTCCTTAATGTTAAAGACGTTTATTCTTATAGTTTGTATGATATCGGTATCAAAATGTTGTGACTAAAGATTTCTTTTTACTATATGCCCCTTGTAGATCTCGAGGAGACTGTGAATTCTTTGGCTGAGGCTGTGGAATCTCTTGAGCAACGAGTGACAAAATTAGAACAATTAGGTAAACAATACGATTTTAATTTCACATGTAAATATTGTATCTTAGCAACATAAATCTAATTTACACCATCAAGAAATTGAGTTCCAATAATCTATATTATCCATTTATTTCAGCTGTTTTAAATATTATGTGTGTGGTTGTCGCTTTTATCTTAAAGAGAAGGTTCATTGATTTTAAAACCTAATTTTATTAGATTATTGCAATGGAGAAACTTTGATTGGACAAGGTTATCCAAATTCAATGTTTGGAAACATTCAAAGTAATGATTATTATCAATTACAAAACTTTAAATACAGCCCCGACATAGCACTCGAAGAGCTCTCCGAACGCTGCCGAGATGTGTGACGTCACATGTTGAACATGATTTGCACAAGCAGACGATGTCCCATGACATCTCGCACATGATCAGTGCCTGTTTTGTCATCTTCTCTTCTGTTATTTCTTTTACTTCACTAACGTCAGGCTAAACTTTTAATCTATTGCCTCGCTCTAAACCCCGCCAATATCATTTTGATGAAAAATACAGTGATAAAAAAATTAAGAAACCCGTCGCTTGTAAACGAAATTAGACACCATTTTATTGTCAGCTGCATACACCGCGGTATGTTCGGCGTTTCAAGAGGGAACAAATTCCGTCCATGCTATCGTGCCGGGGGGGGGGGGAGGGGTCAATATGAAAGTGTGGTTTCTTTGATTGTTCATTAACCCCTATCCTGTGTATTTACTAACAAAATAATTCAGTTATCCGAATCGCTTTCATATATCCCTTTTTGAATGGTGCAAAATGCATAAAATGCATAATTACATAATTTGAGAAATAATAGCTTTGTAATTATGTTCATTTTTAATGGGATGTCGTTGGTTCATAATGTGACGTCATTAAAACATATTTTTTTCTGGCGAATCTCTTATATCTTAGATGTTATGTAGTTGAACTAAAACATAAACGATGGCCATCTGCTAGCTTATCAGTTTCTAGTGATACGTTATTTGCCATATTTGTGATTATCTTTGAACGGGCATTTTAAGAAGCTCTAGCTGTACAATATTTTACCATTGGAAGTCATGACGGATGAAACGGTGTTGGCAGATTTCAAACTTCCTTTTCCTTTATCTTTTACAGATTTAGAGAACATACTGGTTTACCTTCAAGATCAGATTGACTACCTCTTTGCTTCACAGCAATATTATGCACATGGGGCTGATGACGAGGAACAGGTGGATAGTAATCATCTTGATGAAGCAGATCTTTCAAATACAACATCTACCAATGCATCAGAAGACACCACATTGTCAGTGAATTCATCGGAAACAACAGCTATTCCGGTTAATACTCTGCCAGCAACTTCAGCAGCTGACACCAAGAAACCTGTAGCTCAGCAGTGCGTCGAGTCTGCGTCTGATACATCAACAGGTAAAGAGTCTGTTCCAGCAACAGACACAACATCTACCAATGCATCAGAAGATACCACATTGTCAGTGAATACATCGGCACCAGGGTCGTCGGAAACGACATCTCTGCCAGCAACTTCAGCACCTGACACCAAGGAACCCGTAGCTCAGCAGTACGTCGAGTCTGCGTCTGATACATCAACAGGTAAAGAGTCTGTTCCAGCAACAGTTCCAGCATCTACCAATGCATCAGAAGATACCACATTGTCAGTGAATACATCGGCACCAGGGTCGTCGGAAACGACATCTCTGCCAGCAACTTCAGCACCTGACACCAAGGAACCTGTAGCTCAGCAGTACGTCGAGTCTGCGTCTGATACATCAACAGGTAAAGAGTCTGTTCCAGCAACAGTTCCAGCATCTACCAATACATCAGAAGATACCACATTGTCAGTGAATACATCGGCACCAGGGTCGTCGGAAACGACATCTCTGCCAGCAACTTCAGCACCTGACACCAAGGAACCTGTAGCTCAGCAATACGTAGCGTGTGCGTCTGATACATCAACAGGTAAACAGTCTGTTCCAGCAACAGACACAACATCTACCAATGCATCAGAAGATACCACATTTTCAGTGAATACATCGGCACCAGGGTCGTCGGAAACGACATCTCTGCCAGCAACTTCAGCACCTGACACCAAGGAACCTGTAGCTCAGCAGTACGTCGAGTCTGCGTCTGATACATCAACAGGTAAAGAGTCTGTTCCAGCAACAGACACAACATCTACCAATGCATCAGAAGATACCACATTGTCAGTGAATACATCGGCACCAGGATCGTCGGAAACGACATCTCTGCCAACAACTTCAGCACCTGACACCAAGGAACCTGTAGCTCAGCAGTACGTCGAGTCTGCGTCTGATACATCAACAGGTAAAGAGTCTGTTCCAGCAACAGTTCCAGTATCTACCAATGCATCAGAAGATACCACATTGTCAGTGAATACATCGGCACCAGGGTCGTCGGAAACGACATCAATTCCGACTTCAGTAGCTGACAACAAGGAACCAGTACCTATAGCTCAGCAGTTCATCGCGTCTGATGCGTCAACACTCGCTGCGTCTGATGCAACAACTGAGCCTGCTGTGTTAACAAACACGGAGTCTGGTACAGTAACGGTCAACAATTCTGCTGCGCCAAAAACCAATGAGTCTGCTGCGTCACCAATCATCGAGTCTGCTGCGTTAACAGTCGATGAGTCTGTTGCATCAAATGTAACCCAGTCTCTTTCCCCTGAAGCAACAGTGGCAACAACGTCAGCAGTAACCGAATCTAAAGCGTCACCTGTAACACGTACTGAGGAACCCACGGAAAGCATAACTGCCACGACGACATCTTCAACCTTGGTTACACAAACGGCCGCTGCAAATGAAAGCAATGGGAATGCAGGTGATACGGAGAATACGAGAAAGTAGGGCAACAATGTTCGTTGTACAACACGGCGTTATCTTTCTTAATTTAGAATGGTTTTAGTTAAGTATTCGGTTTTTGGACGCACCATGTGAGAGAGACATGGTGGAGAAGGGTTACTGGCGTATTGACTCAATACTTCTACAGCTTTGATTAACGCACATACTAACGCAATCTAAATGACGCCTCGTGTGCAATGGGTCTTATTCACTGAGAAAGACTCGAAAACATTCAACCGACAATTAGTTTATAATATTTTTATGCTAAATTTGGCAAAGATATCACGCCTTCCGTATTAGTCAATAATAGGTTAGCAAAGAAAAATTACAATTGTGCTCTTAACAGATCTTCTATGTTGTGAGTTTTTAGTTTTTGACTCAAAGAGTTTTATTATATTCGTATGGAAATTTCGTTCTTGTTTAAATCTTGTATGAATGAATGTTTACTGTTTACTTCTGTTAATATCGTAAGTAAATTGTGTATTGATCTTACACGTTAAAAGTGCGGCTTGTAAATCGATCAATAAAATGCAGCCCAAGGCAAGGAAAGGTTCTTGTGTGATTATTTTCATGTGTTTATTACTTTTAAACCAATATTACTTGCATAATCCACATTGTTCAAAGTAATGCAAATAACGGGTTACTCTAATACGTACCAGAAGGAAGATGTACCTAATTATAAAGAACAGTGAGAATGATTAGAAAAACAATTGGAGAGGGAGAGAGAGACGGAAGGGTTACAAGAAAAATTTATGAGAAAGGGAATATCTTATAGAATAGAGAATAAAAGAATGGATACGTATGATGAGAGAATCGAGAAAGAGTGAAATTACATTGTTAAGAATGTGAATGAGACGAACTGTCTTGGAATTTGTTTTAATTTGGATAACAGTTTACGTTCTTTGACTCTCCTCTTTGCTTACACTTTTCCTCTCTATTTTCTATTTTCATTGCTCTTTTGTCCGCGATATTCTTTTGGGGAACATTCCGCGTAAATTAGTTAATGAATGTATACCATTTTTTAAAACGAGTTATGGTCCAAAATTGTGGTGGACTTCCAACCTTTAATTACTTTATTGTACATTTTTCTTCCCTTTTCCTCTGGTTAGTTTTTAAAATGTTCTGGTCATTCTCCTCTTTATCATTTATTGTCATCACTCTTTATTTTTCCGTCACTTCTCTGTACTCTTCTGCACTGCACCTCTCTCTCTATATCTCTCTCTCTCTCTTTCTCTCTCTTTCTCTCTCTCTCTTTCTCTCCATGTTCAGATATTGTCTATTTTATCTATCTGTCTCTCCTTCTCTTTCTATCTCTCTCAATCCCCTTTCTCTTTCTCTCTCTCTCTCTCTCTCTCTCCCCCTCTCCCTCTCCCTCTCCCTCTCTTTCTTTATATATACAGTGCGTCCCAGAAAAGACTAAACCGAAAATTATCGATGTGTTATCATAAATTGATCACAATTATAATCAATAAATGACAAATATTTTTTCAGCTTAGATCCTCTTTCATTAGATGCAACTCATAGGATGCATATTTCACGCATGAGTGATTAAAAACAATTTGAAGAGAGGGTACCACAAAGTAATTTGGCGGGCGGTATCGGAATTTCAAGGAGAAAACCACATTTCTACAAAATTCATTCTCTGACCTGTCATATGACACCTCGCTCAGGAAAAATGAGCCAGGAATAACAAAATTCAGTTTGTTTAAAGTAATGCTTGCATTTCCATAATTTTAGTAAACGAATTCGTTTTCACTGGCTGTCTGTCGTATCAACAAACAGAGTTGACAAAAGACTTTAATCCGTTTCGTTGACCGTCAGCCACGCATCAGGTCTTTCGTCTTTTTTGTGCATGGCTGATCGTCTAATTAGAGAAGAGGATCTAAGCTGAACAAAATGATATGTGTCATTTATTTATTATAATTAGGATTAAGTTATGATAAAACATCGATAATCCTCGGTTTCGTTTATATTATGTGAAAAGAAATGAAAAATAAATTCGTTCTCGTATAGAGCTACTACTACTACTACTAAGTGTGTGTGTGTGGACATACTCAAAGTGACAATGCCAATACCTCGTCATTCTAAAAATGAGTCATTACAATATGTCACACTGTGACAAGCAAAACAAAACGATATTGAAATGAAGTTAAGTCGGATTATAAATCACGTTTTAAAAGGTGTATGGACATACTTATAGCTTAATGGGCAATGGGGCTTTGTCAGGCATCTCTTGAAAACAAGTTTTTTGGTTATAAACTGTAATCGTTGTTAATGAGGTATTCTGCATTGTAATACGCCACTTAATCGGAATAATCAACTGAGCTCTTTCTTCCACAACCTATACAATAGGCTATTTTAACAAAAGTAAATATACATAAGTGCCTCGTTAAGAATGATTTCATTCGCCTGACACGAATTTGTATTTTAAAAGTCAGAATGCGGATTGCATATATTACGTGTTGCTAGGTAAGACAAGCCATAATAGCCATGTTCAGACGGGGTTTTGTTGGTCGGCGTAAGTTAATCCTTGTAGCAGTAAATACCTCATGTATATTTCACTTACACCAGGGAGGTGAAAGAAAAGGTGGCGAAACTCTTGTAATTCATTCAAACGCATTCTTGAGTTCTAAAGCGTAACAATGGGATGTGTATCATTCCACTTGGCTTTGAAGTTCCATGCTCCGAACCGCGCTTCCACTGCGGGGACTTTCGGAAGCCAGGCACCAGTTTTACATTTATTACAAAATATCAAATTACCGGAAAAATTTCAGTGTAAATCAAAAACTTTATATGGGGATTTTATTGGGAATAGTGCATCAAACAAATTTTCAAATTTAGAACTCCGTCCTTCCTTTAATTTGTGTGCCAGAGTTGGTAAAAGAAAAATTACATCCTTTCAAAAACTCAATATTTTAGGATGATGCGCTAATTTGTGCATGCTTTAATGTCCCGTTATTTGATCCATGATTTACAATCTTCAATAACATTAAGTTTGCTAATGCGTGTTTTCGCGTGTTTTTTGTATTTTTCAAGTTTAAAAAAGGATGAAAGTACACAAGTTTGTGTTCGCTTATTCTACTCTTTACACATTCAACAATGGATGAGAAATCATTGGAAGGGACAGCGAACAGTTGCAGTGATACCATTTTCTGATTTAGGAATTCTAAATCCTGAAATTTCATGCGCTCTTTTATCTCACCACGTGGTCAACAGTTGCAGATTAGCGCATAACTTTTCGGCGGCTTGGAGCATGGGGTCAAAGGAGAGCGGCTTGATTCCAGTCCTTCTCTATCACGTCCCTGGTTGTCCACACCCTCTTACTCGGACCCATTTACTACGATTAAGTTAACACGACCTTCCACCGACCAACGTAACTTACGGAAGGGGTGACGCCCGCACTAGTCGACCTCAACCCACCTTCCACGTCTAAACCGTGCGAAATCTAATTTCATTTTCGATTGTAACAAACAATCATCGTGAAAGGTCACAGATACGCCCGAGTGTAAGTGAGAGCATCCACAGGTTAGCGAGTTACGCCTGGACGCATAGTTCCCGGAACGCCGAAGGCGGCGCTATTCATCGAACACTCTATCGGAACACTGTAAATGCTTTTATTAGGAAAGGACCTGTTGTGAATAAAGAGCTCCAGTTTTGTACGATCACGTTTACCCTTTTTCGCTTTAAATACATGGGTACAACACTGAACAGTTTTAATTACATATGAGTCATATGTAATTGACTTCCTTGAAATTAAATGACTCGCAGGTAATTAGGAGAATTTATCTGTTTTTTGTCAAGTTGTCTGATTTGATGACGTCATTGGCGATTTATAAGCCATTTATAAACCATTGGCTAGAAAAGTCATTGGCGATTTATAAGCCATTTATAAGCCATTGGCTTTTTATATGCCATGATCCCTTCTGCGATTTTTTGGCGATTTATAATCGAGCTCCAGTTTTCTATGATCGCGTTTACCATTAAGGTGTAAATACAACGATTTATAAGCCATTGGCTATTTATAAGCCAGAGCTGTCGGAACTAGGGTTGGGTATTGGTATAGCAGAGAAGTAGATTGGTGGACTGATAAGAAGATATGTGTTCAAGTTTCCTACGAAGTGCTTTGAGTATACCGCATTAGTTTGCATCTTGGTTGCAGGACAGGTTGTTGCTCAATTATGGTTAAGTGGCTATGAAATTTCATGAGATGGATTATTTGGCCAAAAGTGAAGACAGTTGAATTGCATTAGTGAGGATCCATCCTGATATTGATAGAAAGTTTAAAGGTAATAATATATCTATTGGGAAATGTTTTTAATATAGGCCTATGCCAATGAGAAATCCCCTTTCTTTGGTGGTCATGGGTGCTTTTTAAAATTTTTTTTTAAGAAGAGCAGAGATATGTGTTAAATGCCAATGTATGCTGTGAATGAGCACTTCACATTAGTCATGCACCAGTGGCGGATCCAGGGGGGGGGGGGGGCCGGCCCCCCCCCCCCCTTGAGAAAAAAATCATGTAAAATCACGTGATTTTTTACCTTTTTGGGGAGGGGGGTTGCAAATTGAAATTTTTTTGAGGATCAAAAAAAAAAAAAATGTGCTCACCTATGAGTATGAGGTCAAAGACTGTCGTGTTTCACCTCATTGGCACTAGGTCTAGGAGTGTTTAACTTGTTACTTAGACTAGGGCCTTGCAAGAATGTGCTCAGGATTGAAGATTTGAGCGCTCTTGTGAATAAAAAATAACCAAACAGCCAAGATAATAATGAAAGACACATAATTATTCATGAATGAGATTTTTTTTGTTACAATAATCATATTTTTAAGACTTTTTTTTTGTATGGGTTGTGTGCTGCTAAGTTTCACTAGATCTACACACAGGGTGGTTCAGCAGTGCGAGTGGTGCAGTGTCACAAACAAATTTTTATTTCATCATTAATTTTAATTCATACCGGTATATAATGAACATGTTGCATGTTGTACTGTATGTGCGTGAGATTAAAAATAATAAAATAAAATAACTTCAGTTTACTTACAAACACACCAGGTTACTTTGCAGACATGTTTCACAAATTTTGGTGCCCGGCGGGTAAACATGCGATGGCGTTCTGTGGTTTCCTACGGTGAAAATCGCTATTGAATAATGCGTGAGAGAAGTATTATTTGGCTAATATAAATCGCCAAAAAATCGCCAATGACTTTTCTAGCCGTTGGCTTATAAATGGCTCATAAATCGCCAATGACGTCATCAAATCAGACAACTTGACAAGAACAGATAAATTCTCCTAATTACCTGCGAGTCATTTAATGTCAAGGAAGTCATATGTAATTAAAACTGTTCAGTGTTGTATCCATGTATTTAAAGCGAAAAGGGGTAAACGTGATCATACAAAACTGGAGCTCTTTATTCACAACAGGTCCTTTCCTAATAAAAGCATTTACAGTGTTCCGATAGAGTGTTCGATGAATAGCGCCGCCTTCGGCGTTCCGGGAACTATGCGTCCAGGAGTAAATAGGTCGGCGTAGCTAACACGACCATCGTTCAGACCATGGACCTAATACGGATGGACATTTAACGTGATTCTTTCTTTGATCCAATGATAGTCATCGCCTTCTGATTATGTGCATATTAATGAGAACATTCAGTTGTTTTAACAATAACCACTGCGTAAAGCATTTTCGGTCATTGACAAAGGAGCAGTTTCCCTCTCTTGGATTTTGTTTGGATAGTGTGCTCTGTAAGAGTGTGTCTCATGCTAGGAGTCCACTGGGCCGGCGCCAGTTGGCGCCAGTTTGCGCCAATGCAATTTACTGTGGCGCCTAGTGTCGCCAATAAGGTGCCTAGTTGCGTGTAGTGGCTCAAACTGCCTCCCAACTGGCTCGTGGTGGCCCGTAATGGCACCAAATTTGAATGTGGCGGCAAGAAAATTTCAAAATGTTTGAAATTTTCGTCGCGCCACTTGCATCGAGCAATCAGAGCCAAGTGTCCGCCAAGTGGCACCAAATGACGCGAACATATCGCCCTTTGGCGCAAACAATCCGCCTATTGGAATCCACTGGAATGTAATGGCGCGCGCCAAGTTGCGCCAATGAGATTTCGCGCCACATGGCGCCACTTGGCGCCAAGGGGCACCTTGTTTGCGCCACTACGCGAGCCAAACGACACCCGATTGGTGACTACTTCGCGCCAAATGCCACCTGATTGCCCGCCATTCGGCGCCACTTGCCGTCTATAACAGCAGGGCGGCATCGCAGGACTTTCTCACAGTGATGGCGGCAGTTCTCCAAGCTCTAGGGATGAGGTTGTGCTGGGCATCCTCCTGGTCCAACATGCGGACGTCCAGTGCCTGAAAGCGCTTCCTGATGAGGTTGTTCAGCATGACGGCAGCTTCAACGAGCAGGCGGACTGTGTCTGGTTCCTGTCTCAATTGGCCAAGGAAGCACTGGAACCACAGAGCCAGAATTCCAAAGGCATTTTCAACCACACGCCTTGCCCTGGACAGCCTGTAGTTGAAGATCTTCTGCTGTTGGACCATGTTACGACGGCCATAGGGCTTCATCATGTACTTCCTCATGGCGAAGGCATCGTCTCCCACGAAGAAGTACGGCATAGGGTGCTCTTCATCATCATGGGGAAGAGGAGCTTGATCTGGGATGCCTAAAGTGCCAGCTTCAATGTACTCCTTCAGTTCACTGTTGTTGTAGATCTGGGCATCAGACTGATGGCCAACCCCACCCATATCGATCCACATGAACTGGTACTTTGAATCTACCAGAGCCATCAGGACAACCGAGAAGAATTGCTTGTAGTTGAAGTAAAGGCTGCCTGATTTGTTGGGCTTCTGGAGACGGATGTGCTTTCCATCATAGGCTCCCAGACAGTGAGGAAGATTCCATCTGGCTTCAAAATCACCTGCAACCTCAAGCCAGCCTTCATTGGTTGTGGGCTTCTGCAGCATACTCATCCACTAGCGCTCTGGCTACATCAGGGACAAACTTCTGGATGGTTTCTTTGCCCACTCGGAAGTTGTAAGACAGCTCGGCATAGGTGGCCCCAGTGGCGAGATGGCGCAGGAAGAGAGACAACTTGAGACCAGGGGAATGGCCTTCCTGATGTGGGTGTCCTTCTTCTGCAAGTGGGTTGTAAGCCTGACCAACAGGTCATCAAACATCTCTGGGGACACCCTGGTGTAGTTCTTGAACTTCCGCCTGTCATTCTCCCTCAGCTCTTCCATCAAAGTGTGGTACTGTCCACGTTCGGCCCACAACTGTGGGTGGAGCATAGGTCTAAACCACCAGTTGTGCTTCCTTTTCTTCTTAGGAGGCTCTTCTTCTTCAGGATTGGCCAGCATAAGTTGATAGGCAGTGGCCACCTCAGCATCTCTCATCATCTTCTGATGGAGCAGCATCATCACTCCAACATTATCAAAAGCCTCAGACATATCAAAATTGTAAATATTTAGTAGAGATGTTGTTCATACAGCAGCTGAGGAGGGTCTGAACCAGGTAGCCGATGGCCGGTATTTATATAGTCGGCAAGTAGCGCCAAGCGGCGGCAAGTTCAAACCAATTTGGCGACCTTTGGCACAAACTAATCACCAAGTGGCGCAAAGTAGCCGTCTATTGGCGCAAATGGCGCCAACAGGGTGAATTTTGGAATCAAATGGCCGTGTAATGGCGCAAACTGGCGCAAACTGGCGCAACATTTTGGAGCAAGCCGGTGGTATTTGGCGCACGCCATATGGCACCCAGTTTTATTCCACTTGGCGACACATGCCGAGCGGACATTAATTCGGCGCCACAGCGAGCCACTACGCGCCAATCACATAATCTTTGGCGCGAACTGGCACCAACTGGCGCCGGCCCAGTGGACTCCTAGCAAATAAATACATCCCCAATGGGGAGCAGCAAAGTTGAAAAGCAGACGATTTTGGTGATGTGAAATGTGTTAATACTGATTTGCACATTTTCGCACACAGCCCATGACCTTATAAAACAATTAGAAGGCCATGATCTTTATAAGCCTTGTGCGTTGTAACTCTGGAATATTATAAGAAAATAAAGGGAAACGGGATTTTAAATCACAACCAATCCACATATAACCTTTATCTGGTAATATCAACATGTTTTTCAAAATAAAATACAGTACACGGAACAACAATTTCCGATTATAAGCCAGAACTGCACATCGATTTTTCCATGCTTTAGGCGAGTTATTATCATCTGCGCATGTAGATTAACATGTGTAAACTCACTATCTTGATTCTGTCCCGGCTTTTTGGCGGTGACCATCATGAGATCAGAGTCAATGTACGAAATGTTTTGAGACGACATTGACGGAGACAATCGCAATGAATTCGTTAACAAAACGACGAATGTCCATTCGTAGGTCCATGATGAAATCATCGTATCGAGTCGCTTCACAAAGGCATATTCATGAATTTGGTTACATTACGAAAATGGCCTTTTGCGCCTCATTAAATATTCAAATTATTAAATGAGTCTTCCGAGAGCCAATGGTGACGAGATCCACCTCGCAAAAAAAAAGGTAGGCCTCGCACGAGCCTTTGTAGTCAAGTGCCCCTTCTCTTCAATACGACGTATGCATAAAGTTGAATGCATAGTTAAGCGATTTATTTCATACTTGCTAAAGAAGCACCTGACTATGCGCCCTGATAAAAGAAAATGTCCATTAATTTGAATATATTTAAATGTCCAATTATACTACATTCCTCTTGCACGGGTCATTCAATCTTAGGCCGGTGTCTGCATATCTGGCTTTGCTCTCGCAGATGTATCACGGATATTAAAGCGAACCATTTTTGTCAGGACTTTGATTCCTCAGCCAAAAGGTTTGGGCAGGACATTCTGAATTCTCTTACAAAAAGGTCATATCATTTTGAGGCATTTGCTTTCGTTCAAGATGAAGTCTTGTACACTAATAATCACCGCTTGTCTTCTGCCAGCAATATTGGCAGCTTCTGTCGAAAAGGCCAAAGAAAATGAAGCTTTACTGCACCGGATCGTCGAAAAGGTAACTTTAATCTTAATATTCTTTAGCGTCTACATATTCAAAGATTGTTTGACACGCCCGTATTACAAATATTAAAAAGAAAAATAAGATATTCTGATTCAGCATTGTGTGTTTAATTTCAGAAAGTCATTTCAGAAGAAAAAAAAGTTATCGTATTCTCAGATTTTCTCCAATCTGCCATTGCTTGTTAACACTGAATGTTAATATACAATCATCAGTTGCTTTTTATAAAGATGTAAAAACGACTACCATATTCTGATAAATATCCTAAATAAGCAAATAAATTAAACTAGAGATTTAACATGTATAAACTGATATTTGCGTTGTAATAGGCGATTGTGTACATATAGGTTGAAATTGAAATCGTGACCGCATGTAGATAAATATACTTTTTGCTTGTATTTTCATCCACTCCAGCAAAGCATAGTAGTCAATGACAATGCTAATGCTTTCATCCATCTTAGTTCATGTATGTTATTTTACCCCCTCTTTTGTATTATATGGTTTCATGAAGTGATTTTTATTGTGTCTCCTTGTACACTTTTCACCCACATTGCTTTAAAGGGACTTGGTAACATTGTTCAGATGAGAGATAGGGGCATGCCATTCGGCTACAACTTGTTTGTCCGTCCTGAATAACACAGAAAATCAATGCTAGATGTACAATTAAAGATAATCTGAAATTTTGAGTGGAAACGGACCATCATTCGTGGTACAAATTGGGAAAAACTGATCTGATCGATTCCTTAATATTCTTACAACTATATTATTACATTACAATTTAGTTACATTTTAGGTGAATGGAAATCGTCACAAAGCAATACAATGACTTTACATTCCATTCCAGACATTTAAGTGTTGACAGAAATTTTATAGCCTGTTTTATGTCCTGTTTTCATGGGAAAACGGTTGGGAAAATTCAAAAATGGTTGGGAGAATTTACTGTTAATCACTGTTAGAGGGTGTCATACATCGACTCCTTCAAAGAAAACCATAGATATCTTCGTGGTTTAAGAATTTGTTCAGGATTTTTTGCATGTCAGAGGATTAGTACAATAGGAGGAATATAGTAAGTAACATTTTATACACAAATTAAGCAATTTTTTCATCAACCTTCAACAATGTTACCAAGTCACTTTAAACACAATTTTGTAAAATACTATGTCAAATGTCCTCAACCTTGGCATCTAAATTTGTCTCTTGTTTTTTCCGCTCTCAAGAATGTTCCATCTTCGTACAAGAAAGCTTACAACATCTTGATGAAAGCAAACGAATTGCAAGCCAGGTCTCACAATACGAACGAAGGTAAGGTATAATTCATCTGAGATTAAAACATCACCATTACATACACCTATACAAACTCTGTAGATTGAGCACAAATGCATAAGTAAAAGAGGAGGGGGAGTCGTAGAGAGAGACAGAGATAGCGAGAGGAGAAGGAGAGGGAAAATGAAGGGATAAACTAGTTATTTATATGCATGCAGGTAAAGAGAGAAATATTTACGGTGGTGTGACCATAGTTCGCTATCTCAACAAATTGGTAGGATTTCGAAAATCTGATATCACCAATGGAAAGAGGAACGTAAAATCACATAGAGACGGAATTTTCTCTGGAATTGGGTGTGAAATTATGAGAACATTTTGCGGTCATTTGCGTCCGTTTCGAAAAATCATTAACTCACCGATAAGGGTCTGGAAATCTTCATTTTGAGAGCAGATTTCCACTAAATTGTAAATATGAAGTGGTAACATCTGATTTTATGATATCTTGCCTTGCAAGTTATGAAATTGCCTTATTTTTTGCGGATCGCATTTTTTAAATAAATCGGTTATAAACCTCCGTGCGCGAAGTTTAGCCACGGTCACAAAGATTCGTACGAACGATGCGTTCGTACGAATCTTCCTATTTTTCCATTGTCTTTCCGAATTTCAATTGTCTGAAAATCGTTCGTACGGCATTCGTAGCAGTTCGTAATGGCATTTGTGACCGAGGCTTATTGGTCTTGTTCTTTTTACGATTGTGTTAGTTGCAACGCGCAAGCCGATCCGATGTCGAATTTTTAGATCACTATATCTCCGGAATTCTTTGACGAAAACACCTATGCCGTCCATTTGGTAATAATTGAAATAAATCAATTTGTGTCGAATATGAGAAATCATAGACCGAATATCACATTGTATAATATTTAGAAAATCTCCGCGAACTTTAGTCACCCCTTGATAGAGATAGATCGAGAGGGAGAGAGAGAGAGATGTGGATAGATAGTGTGTGTGAAGGGGGTGAGAGTGGTAAAGGAAATTTAAAGTTTAGCTATTTCAAATCATCTGCATAAGGAATCAAAATCTGGATATCTATAATGTGATGATTGAAAATGAAAGACTCGATGCTAATTCTTCATAAATCATGGTATTAAATAATGAATCAAATATTTATCTTTAAGACACATAATTATTGTTCATGATCCGTTTAAAATAAAGAAACGTTTTGCAGTGATTTAATTCTGAAAGTATATTCTGTGACTGATATTACTCTTAAATAAACAAAAGCTAAAGTGGAAGTCTGTATTCATTACAAAATTGTCACTCTTCTTTTACTTTATTCAACAATTTTCCTTCTAACTATTGCATAACATTCAGCAGACGAAGAAAATTTTCCTGGTGATGGCCACGATCACGATGGCGTTGATGATATGGTCACTTCGACCCCTGCAAGTAAGAAGAAAAAGTAATAATTTAAGCCCTTTAATGAAAAATGAAAGGGGTAACTTTAACCCCAATAAACAGCACGTCTCAAAATATGAGAGTGGACAATGAAGAAAATAGTCTTTAAGACACATAATTATTGTTCATGATCCGTTTAAAATAAAGAAACGTTTTGCAGTGATTTAATTCTGAAAGTATATTCTGTGACTGATATTACTCTTAAATAAACAAAAGCTAAAGTGGAAGTCTGTATTCATTACAAAATTGTCACTCTTTCTTTTACGTTACAACAATTTTCCTTCTAACTATTGCATAACATTCAGCAGACGAAGAAAATTTTCCTGGTGATGGCCACGATCACGATGGCGTTGATGATGTGGTCACTTCGACCCCTGCAAGTAAGAAGAAAAAGTAATAATTTAAGCCCTTTAATGAAAAATGAAAGGGGTAACTTTAACCCCAATAAACAGCACGTCTCAAAATATGAGAGTGGACAATGAAGAAAATAGTCTTTAAGACACATAATTATTGTTCATGATCCGTTTAAAATAAAGAAACGTTTTGCAGTGATTTAATTCTGAAAGTATATTCTGTGACTGATATTACTCTTAAATAAACAAAAGCTAAAGTGGAAGCCTGTATTCATTACAAAAATGTCACTCTTTCTTTTACGTTACAACAATTTTCCTTCTAACTATTGCATAACATTCAGCAGACGAAGAACATTTTCCTGGTGATGGCCACGATCACAATGGCCACGATCACGATGGCGTTGATGATGTGGTCACTTCGACCCCTGCAAGTAAGAAGAAAAAGTAATAATTTTAGCCCTTTAATGAAAAATGAAAGGGGTAACTCTAACCCCAATAAACAGCACGTCTCAAAATATGAGAGTGGACAATGAAGAAAATAGCTGTACTGAGAAAAGAGATTCTATTTTTTATTCAATTTATGTTATTTCCATATCATTTCATAAAGTAGTGCAGCACTTGTAAAGGTTAAAAATAAAACAACGAGAGAGAAAGAAAAGTTAGAGGAGAAAGGAAACTTTAGCTTTTTCTCTCCGTCTTACGGTTCATGTCCCTCATGTGCAGGACCCATGAACCAATACAACGACACCGCTTGTCATTTCTTTTAACAACTTATCTAAAACAAAAGTATTAGAAAACCAATATTAAACCAAGTTTCATTACTGCAATCATTTCATCAATCATCAATTTGAAACTTCCTTTCCTAATACACACTTCCAAATATCAAAGTTCGCTATCTCAACAAATTGGTAGGATTTCGAAAACCTGATATCACCAATGGAAAGAGGAACGTAAAATCACCTAGAGACGGAACTTTCTCTGGAATTGGGTGTGAAATTATGAGAACATATAGCGGTCATTTGCGTCCGTTTCGAAAAATCATTGACTCACCGATAAGGGTCTGGAAATCTTCATTTTGAGAGCAGATTTCCACTAAATTGTAAATATGAAGTGGTAACATCTGATTGTATGATATCTTGCCTTGCAAGTTATGAAATTGACATATTTTGTTTGCGGATCGCATTTTTTAAATAAATCGGTTATAAACCTCCGTGCGCGAAGTTTAGCCACGGTCACAAAGATGCGTTCGTACGAATCTTCCTGTTTTTCCATTGTCTTTCCGAATTTCCTTTGTCTGAAAATCGTTCGTACGGCGTTCGTAGCAGTTCGTAATGGCATTTGTGACCGAGGCTTATTGGTCTTGTTGTTTTTATGATTTTGTTAGTTGCAGTGCGCAAGCCGATCCGATATCGAATTTTTAGATCGCTATATCTCCGGAATCCTTTGACGATAAATTTTCTAATTGAATCAATTTGTAGTATAAAAAAAAACTATGCCTTCCATTTGGTAATAATTGAAATAAATCAATTTGTGTCGAATATGAGAAATAATAGACCGAATATCACATTGTTCAATATTTTGAAAATCTCCGGGAACTTTAGTCACCCCTTCATAGAGATAGATCGAGAGGGAGAGAGAGAGGTGGAAAGATACAACATGTACATATTGGCCCGAATTCACAAAGGAGGTTTGTCGACAAACCTCCTTTTGTGTTTTACAAATCAGGTTTGTAAGAAACGCGTCAAAACGCGTCATATGACATACATAAACCTCGGTTTGTCGACAAACCTCCTTTGTGAATTCGGGCCAGTGTGTGTGCATGAAGGGGGGAGTGAGAGTGGTCAAGGAAATTTAAAGTTTAGCTATTTCAACTTCATTTGCATAAGGAATCAAATTCTGGATATCTATAATGTGATGATAGAAAATGAAAGACTCGATGCTATTCTTCATAAATCATGGTATTAAATAATGAATCAAATATTTATCTTTAAGACACATAATTGTTCATGATCCGTTTGAAATAAAGAAACGTTTTGCAGTGATTTGATTCTGAAAGTATATTTTGTGACTGATATTACTCTTAAATGAACAAAAGCTAAAGTGGCAGTCAGTATTCATTACAGAATTGTCACTCAATCTTATATCCTTATCCATTTCTTTTACGGTTTAGCAATTTTTCTTCCAACTATTGCATATCATTCAGCAGACGAAGAACATTTTCCTGGTGATGGCCACGATCACGATGGCGATGGCCACGATCACGATGGCGATGATGATGTAGTCACTTCGACCCCTGCAAGTGAGAAGAAAATGTCATAATTTTAGCCCGTTAATGAAAACTGAAAGGGGTAACTTTAACCCCAATAGACACCACGTCTCAAAATATGAGAGTGGACAATGAAGAAAATAGCTCTACTGAGAAAAGAGATTCTATTTTTTATTCAATTAATGTTATTGCCATATCATTTCATAAAGTAGTGCAGCACATGTAAAGGTTAAAAATAAAACAAAGAGAGAGAAAGAAAAGTGAGAGGAGAAAGGAAAACTCTAGCTTTTTCTCTCCGTCTTACGGTTCATGTCCTTCATGTGCAGGACCCATGAACCAATACAACGACACCGCTTGTCATTTCGTTTAACTTCTTATCTAAAACAAAAGTATTAGAAAACCAATATTAAACCAAGTTTCATTACTGCAATCATTTCATCAATCATCAATTTGAAACTTCCTTTCCTATTACACACTTCCAAATATCACAAACAGTTCTAGGCTCATGTTTGTAAGTTTTACTTTATTTTCCAGATAAAGATGTCCTTCCTCCAAAAGATCCACAGATCAAGATGCAAGTCTCAGAAAGTAAGTTTCTTTCCTGTTCTCTATTAAATCGTCACAAAATACGGCTTTACTTTTTAATTACACATTTATAAATGTATATGTGGAATTTTGAGACGTTATTATGTACGCATGATAAATTTATCGATTTCTTCTGATTTAGTTTTTTATTTCAATTTCTAAAAATGTATTGTTCAAAAATGAATGGAGTGGGGTACAAAAACTGATTGTAAACGCTCACAGCGCATGATACATTTTCAAAGCATATCTTGAGTTCTGTTCATGAAAATATTATTTTCAATTGAGCTGGGCTGTTTTAATGAAATATACTATATGTACGGTTGCTGAATACCACACTGATTGAAATTTCTCCTTTTCTGTGATTTAAATATACTTTGTCTCATTTGCAGGCCAAACAAATTAAAAGATTAGATTCCAACGGCATTTGAAATACAATACTATAAATTTAGAACTTCCCTCAAAACGAAAGGGATTGAAAATGGCTTTTAGTGGGAAAATAACGACCATTAGTTGCCAAATGGTCGTACGTTTTGTGCTGCACAAAGATTCAATCAGTTTAATTTTGGCCATTACAAGTAGTGGGTTATTGATGTAGACAAATGCTCATGCACCTGTTATAGCCCATTCTATGTATATTATTACCAAAGAAAAAAAAGATGTCAGTCAGTCACTCAGTGTCTGACAGTGAAGTCAAAAAGGTAAACAGGTTTCCTTGCATAATTTGAATACTAGAACACTGCTAATGTTTAAATTTCACATATAGGACATTCATGACATATTCATGATTCCTGCGTTTGATGTTGGCTGCAAAAGGGACGTAGTATATTTAAAGCACAATAAAATAATGGAGATAAACTGAAATTGTTAAAATAATTTTATTTTCTAAATTTTGAATTGCGTTTTAAAACCAATCATAATCATTTGGAATATGTGTTGCAGTTATTCAAATGATATAATCGGTATCATTAATATTGAAAGTGTTTTATGCAGTGTAACATCTTCACGTAGAAATTTCGTACGTAATGATATTGCCTTTGAAAGATAACTACAATATATCACATTCATTTTATTGTTTTTCTCCACAGTTTTGGCAAAAACAATCGGAGACGTAAATGATCGCCTCTTCAGCTTGGCCGAAAACATCAAAATGCTAACGAATAAACGTAAGTTAGCATCCTGACTCTTTTTTTATAGAACGAACTTCTATTTCAATCTATTTTTGCGTGTTTTTTTCTTTTCAGTAGCATACTCAATTTATTGAAAAACAAAGTCAAGATAAAATAGCATGCAAGAACATTGAAGATTAGGATACTGCCTTAAAAAACCAGAAACACTACAAGTCGAAAATAGACAGTAGAACATACAGTGAGGATTTTGAAAAAGAGGGGTCACAATAATCATTATTTTTGGAGGTACCTTTTACTCCAAATTTCTCCGATAAGCACAAATAACAAAAACGTCTTTATAAATGAGAGGGTCGTTTGGATTCAAAGGGAGGCACGGAACAAATGTGCTCACCCTAAGAGAAATTAGTAAATACAATTTTAAAACATAAAATCGGCCACCGAGTGAGAGTTTGATGTGCAGAACCTTAGGTCGCATATTGACTGATACAGATAAATAATATAAATTGTATCTGAGCTATATTTGATGTGAAATATAGATAGTATGAAGATTGATTTAAATTTTCTCACGATGACCTTTGTGCCATCAGAACACCTACTGAACGCGAGATTGTCTGCCGTCGAGAAGTCGGTTGGAAAGGCCCTCATTTCAGGAGTGAGTAGCATCCACGGCCAGAATCAGCCACTAACAGACCAAGCAAAACCCCAAGACCTAAACCAAGAAGACAATCAAACAACAGCTCAACCAACGCAACCAACGCAACAAGATGAGGGCGATGATAGTGGCATAACTCATCAACCCCTAAATGTAACGACGGATAACATAGAAGATGGAGTACATACCGAGGGAACGACAACTCAGGTTGGGCAGGAGACTGCAATGCCACCACATACATCCGCAAATGTCAAAGGCGACCAAAAGCAACCAACTACAATGGCACCACATACCAATGGGGACTCACAACCGCCTAGTGCTGACGGCGAAGTTGTCATCAAGGCGAAACGGGAATTTCTCGGTGACCATCCGCGGTATTCTTTTCGTGACGATAATCCTTTTGTTGGTGATCGTCGTGGTGACGTTCTCGGTAGGCTTCGTGATGGTCTTCCTCACCGACAAGTGGCCTCGCAGGTACCAGTCCTACCCCGTCATAGGCGACGACTGGATCAAAAGTGGTTCCAGAAAAAGGACGGAATCGAGAATTAATCTTCCAACCTACACCTACGATGGATATTAGCCCACCAACCGAGGATCATTTTCACCACCAAGTCTTTACCAGTCTGAAATGGAAAGAAACATGAATATCATCCAGGATTCTACAAAATGCACCATGGACATCATATATCGTTCAAAGAAATATTCTGATGCACAGGACGATTATGATTAATTCACCCCCCCCCTTCGACACATACAGTGTATAAATAAAGTGTATCTTTGTACAGATAATCACTCTGAAATATCAGAGTTTAAATATTATATTTTTTGGATACTATGCCGATTAGGTTTATTTGTTTAATGCTTTCTACGAATCCTTTGCTGCATGCGAGCTATTAAAAACGTTCACTTGTATTTTCATTGATGCGACTATTACTTTGTTTGATAACAATGATACGTTGACTTTAATTTACATAGATTTAATACATGTATTCAGCATCTAATGCAACCTTTAGATTTGTTCGCTAATGATTAAGGTTAGTGCCAAATATCACATGATACAAAATTATTTTGAATACAACCAATCCATATAATGCGTGGTGTACTCATATAAATTGAATCATCACTCAATAAAAAAAAAAGCCTTTTGCATCAATAAGAGATTAAAGTCACTTATTCTTATTTGTCTTTCACTAACTGTATTTGAGGAGTATAGTGCTCTCCCTTAATCTCTTACTTTTCTATCTCTCTCTCTCTCTCTCATTCTCTCTCTCTCTCTTTCTCTCTCTCTCTCTCTCTCTCTCTCTCTCTCAATTGTGTCTCTCAGTATCGTTCCGTTCTATCGCCTTCTTGTTTTGCCGTTTATCTTTGTCGTGCGTAGTGTAAATTTTCTCATGTAATTTGCTTTGCATTCATTTTTTTCTGATTAATGGACTGATGACTGAATGATTGATTGATTGATTAATTGATTGATTGATTGGTTGTGAATTGGACTACAGTGAATGTTATAGCTTGCTCGATTATGATTTTAAAGATTATTGATAAATTGATGGCACCCCCATACTGAAGAATTTAAATAAATATTTCGTAACACTTGTACTCAGTGAAAAAAATGTAATGAGGGAAATTTCATATGGCGAAAAACTTTTTTTTCCCTTCATTTTTGTATATTGGTGTTTTATTTCCTCAATACAAGAGGTACATGTAGTACATAATAATCAAAGTCATGCAATTTACATCATACTGACTTGAAATCACATTCAGAATAATCAAAATACAATACAAAAGTATCATTCTTAATTGACATCAATTGCTAAACAAAACAACTCTTTCATACATTTCCTTATTCGTTTAAAACACTAATAATAATAATAAAATACTTAGTCATTTCATGTTAGGTTTTTTTATTACAAAAACGCTTTATCTGTTGAAGTAAACAAAATACATAAATGCTTGTACATGAAATATCATAATATGTCAACAACAACAACAAAAATACAGTACTACTTCTGAAAGAGAAAAAACTCCCCACAAAGAGAGAGAGAGAGAGAGAGAGAGAGAGAGAGATAAAGATAATAAGGAGCTCTTTTTACAAACTATCGCGTAAAATATGGAAATAATATTATTTCAAAAATGGAACCCAAAATGTGTATTCTAATCAATATTGACAATCATTAGTCACATTACATAAAATAAAGAAGCTTTAGTTTCGGACGTGTACAATTCTTAACGCAATGGAAATGTCTTGCATGTATATGAACAAGGGAAAATTAGGATGTGTAGTATTTTTTCATGATTTGAATTTGCCACACCATTAGATTTTAACTAAATGACAAAAAAGAAGAAAACAGATTAACCCAGCTCTCTTGTATCTCGACGTTTAACGTTATTTTTTCTCATAATAGTAGTCATTCGACCAAATAATTCAAATTCTGGTCACAATAACACAATCAAACGCACCCATGCTAAACGCTTTACAAGTAACGGGGGTGGATTGCTTTAGGAGTTTTTACAACATAAAAGGCAAAGTAAAGTGAAAGTCAGTTCAACTGTGGCTTTTATCGTTGTGCTGTTGATAACAAGTTTTATTCTTGTGAAGAGCGTGTGTATATCGTTTAAATAGTCTGAGAGAGAAGGGTGATGAAAGGCTGCGAGGGTGGCGAATGACCATCTTTGGCGCCGCTGGTATTTTCTTCTAGTGGTCAGTCTTGTCCAGGCGGCTTTGTCTATGGCCTCGACCAGTTCTATTCTCAGCTTAGTCCCTCGCATGCAATCTTTTGTCAGTGGGTTGTATAGTGGAAAGGGTTCGGTGACGCGACGAGGGTGGCCGTACCAGTAGTATTTCAAAGCCTCACGTTGGTTTGATACCATCGCTAGCCGCGGCGACGAAGCCTCTAGTGTCCGAGAAACAAAAAAACACATTTTCCGCCCGACGGACGTATGCTAATGCCATGACGTAACCATCAGCATTTTGGACAAAAGCTATCGAAATATGATGAAGAGTAGTATTTTGAGGACATTAATGCTTCTGAGAGTCTGCGAGTAGTATTGTTCCACATTTTGTTTTCTCATATTAACTACATCGGAGGACTTTTGCGACAGAGCCTGAGGAGCAAACAGACCAAGTACAATTCTTTCTATGGGTCGTTTTTTTTTTTTTAATATCCATGATAGATCCTGGATCACTTTTTTTTTATAAATAAAGTTGTCAGAATTTATTTGCAAATTCTCATCAAATATTTCCTATCCACTTTTAGTAAAAGTTTTCGCCTGTTTCTAACGTTTGTTCCGAACTGTTAACAAACATTTATGCACAGCTTGCTAAGTTAATTAAGTATAGGATCATAGAAAAGTTCAACGAAAGGATGAACAGTGTATGAGGAACATTTACTGCTTGGTTACAGATTCTTCGTTCATTTCCAGAGGGATTCTTAGAATGTATCTCAGTGTCGCGTTGGTTATGACAAGTTTTTGAGGATTGTAAGCGTACCATTCTTCGTTAATCAACCTGTTTTTTCTATCCTGCTTTGATGTATTCGTTTGACGTTGGAAAGATGAATCCTATGCTAGATGGATATGGTGACTACCAGCACATCTCGTCTCGGTCAGCCTTCACGGAGATCCAACACCAGGCTGCGATGCCCTACCACCACGCCACCGGCACGGGGGCGCCGTCCCACTACCCCCGCCCAATGCCTTACAGCGCTGCGACGAGGAGACCCATGACGAACGCTAGCGCGGCCGATAGTCACCCGTCTCTGACTGGGATGGGTGCGATGAGTCAGACGAGGCACTACGGCTATCACTTTATGAACTCTTCCCTAGCCGGGCACCCTCCGATATACGACCATTCTGATCAGATCTCCTCATTATCATCGAAAGAAGGTGAGAAACAATGCTAACAACGTCTGCTAAATGTGGCTATATTTCATGCAAATGCAATAATTTTACGCCGTTGCCATGGTTAACATTCAAAACGTCGAATTGATGCCCGAAGTATCACTCCTCACTAGTAAGACGATTATTGTGGCTAGATCCTAAACAAATAATAACAACTTTTTCACATCATTCACGTCCAAAACGTCAATGCCTTTCATCTCATGCATGAAGAATTACGAATATCACTGTGGCTAAATTGAGACCCTATGCAAATATAATTATTTCACCTCATTACCGTTCAAAACTTCCATGACTTTGACCTTATGCATGAAATATTAAGACCATTGTAATGCATTTACTTCGGTAAAATACCAGGGTTACAGCTCAATGAGTCACATAATATCCGCTATTATTCTCATAATGACCCTTCATAAGATATTCTAAAGGGTCTAACCAAAATACAATTTTCTTGGTCAATCTATTTGGATTTGGTACAGTTTGTCGCTAAACTGTAATATGTCTCATTTGAAAGTTAAGAAAAAGTAACAAAACGTACGAATCTTTAGGGTCTCTTAATATAATTACGAATGCAAAAGTTTGTAAATTTCATCAAGGCATGTTCTGAAATCATTATGATAATCAAATAAACATTAACAAGTTTATTAAAAAGACAGTGATCAAGTATATTTCCTTTTTATTCTATGAGAGGGATAGCCTCGAAACTTTCAAGAGTTGTGAAAACAACTTCTTAAACAAAATGTGTGCCACGTAATCATCAATAATGATATCATAAATGATCATGCAACTCCTTGCTATCAATTCCATTTAACCTGTTATCGAAAAGTATCATCCTAAAGACTCAAATATGATACAGAAATCTGTGATTGGTGGGGGTAATCATAACCTGTAATTTGAGCCTCAACTAACCTTTAAAAAGTGTAGAAGGCAAGTATGCCAATTACCTGGTCTGAGAAAGTCTACAGAAGTTTATGAAAGCTTGCCTTCTAATTTTAAAGTTGGTCGAAGATTCAAATATACATCACGTACATGTTAAATCTGAGAAAGTTGAGAAAGTTGAGTAGATAGCGATAAAAACGACAAATATTGACTAACGATGTTAACGTAGCGACCTATAGAAATGTGTTTTTCTTTATACACGTTAACACAACATCGTCATAAATCCATCATTTCAATCCGGCTTTGGTAACAAATAGTACATATTTCATTTCTTCCTATAGAGAAATTGTGATTTGCTGTTTGACACTTTGTTGAAACACAGTAGAGATCCATTTCGAAAGACTTCCAAGTAATTCTGTTTAAGACCTCGTTTTACTTATAAAGTGATTTACTTGACGATTATATACATCCACCTAGTCAGAAAGACACCCCAAGATTGTAGTGTAACGACCACACAATGTAGTGTTTTTTTATGTCACTAGTCATGAACATAAAATAAAAATCATCAAATTATGCTAAATTCTAACCCCAAAAATGATATTTTGAAACGTTTGAAACTCACTTGATATGATTTTCATGTCACTTTTAAGAATTTTTTTTTGTAAAAGGGTGAATAAAAAAATCCTTTCAAACGTGATTTCGTCATTTTTCCTAAATTTGACGATTTGATTTTTTAAATTTAAAGTGACACAGATGTAGTATTAATATGAAGCAAAATTATTAAAGATTAGACTATATTACTCGCATATATTAGCATCCATTCGTATTCATTCACATCTGCATTCATCTCTGCAACAAACAATAATTATGAATTACATATTAATGTAGACAAACTAACCATTCAAAAAATAAAGAAAAAGAAAAAGAACTTCAAATATCAAATATTTCGATAGGACTCATTTCAATTTGCATGTCATATAACTCCTGCATGATCATTTCAGCAATCCATGAATTAGGTAAGAAACGAGATAAGAACTAAATACAAACGAATCTATTAATAAATATTTCAATTATGTATTATAGAAGTAAAATAGGTAGAAACAGTAATAGTGGGAAATCGTTGAAGTGCTTAAAGATTATTGTAGCTAATTTGTTTCAAACAATACAAACATTTGCCAAATGAAAAGATTAATTTTTCAGAACATCTTGTTAATAGTATTCCATGCATAGAAATGACCTATTTTTTTTTAATTACATTTTGATAATGATGAAAAATTACATTGGTGGTAGTACTAATAGTAGTACTTGTAGTAGCAGTAGAAGTGGTATTAGTAGCACTAGTGGTATTAGTAGTAGTATCTGTAGTAGCAGCAGCAACTGCAGGAAAAGGAGCAGGCATATTAACATATCATGTTGGTAAACGTTCTGTACATACACACAATCTCATACATCATATTTAATTACATGTACTAGTGAATATGGTTCCGTTTTATCATTAAATTGAAATGATTACATTTATATCTGGTAACATCAATAGGTTTTTTTTTAATGACTTAATAATTAATAAAAGTAGTAATTGAGTCTTATTTACCCGGGGTAGTCACATGAGTATTACTACTGATCTTCCGGTTGTCCTGTCATTATTATTACTCCAGCATTGCCAGGTACCCATAAAACCTGGTGGGGAGGGACACATGTGGGCAAAACGCCTTGTCCAAGAATGTAAGCACCAAGCGAAGATCGAACCCGAAACCTCTCATATGAGAGCAAAATACCTCAGTTCTCCCAAACAAGATTCGATACATATTCCCTTTTCTAGTGCATTAAGTCATATTTTCAATATACATCAGTTTGTAGTGGTAAATGTCATATATTTTAAATATTTTAGATTAGAATAAAATTAAGATTGTGTTCGTATAGTGCGTCTTTTGTGTATTTACTGATTTTTGTACATATTCGACTATGGTTTGTATCAGCAATACTTTCCGTTTGTCATCGCTTTTAGTATTGGTAGGGTCTATAAATCGAACAAATGAAACCAATGTGGTTTAAATATCTGAAAGTTCCGAAAGTACCATTAATCTAAAATAATTTAAGAAATTGTATAGGCCTACTCATGTGATATTTCGTTTTTAATAATAAAGTTAATTTCAGGATAATTCATGTAGTCGGAAAAGTCTTAACCTACCTTCAGGTTCTTTTCGAATGTTTACTTTTTAAAGAAATCTTTGAATGAAATCAATATTTTCCATTTTACCTTCAAACATTCCAATAATTTATACATGAGCAAATCATTTGAATTTCTTTTATTTGAATTAGTATACTATGAAATAAAAAAATTTGCTCGCAAACTTGAGATTTTTGTCTCTCTCTCTCTCTCTCTCTTGTTCGTTCGTTTGACTCATTATTTTTAAAAAATCGTGATCATTTTCCAGACGGGGACATTTCAATCCCTAACACATAATTATGTGTATTCACCTCACGCATGTCTTAACAATAATTGTAACACGGTAGTGACACTCGTCGAGGGAGAACAATGTACTCCCGTCCACCCCGTCACCACCGAGCCTTCTACCCCGCCTCTCTCTCTCTCTCTCTCTCTCTCTGTCTGTCTCTCTCTCTCTCTCTCTCTCTCATTGTCTCTACTAACCGATGATCCATTGATTATTCGAATAGAATACCCTTGTTTGTTCATTAGCTCAAGTCAACTCAGCCGCATCATATCCCAATGTCCTAGGCTATAATTAGCAATGTGAACCTTGTAATCAACAGCTTACTTTGTTTATAATGTATGACTCGGATAAGTTAACATAGAAGTCAGTCTTACTGCGGATTCGGCGTTTTTGTTTCTAGAACAATGTCTCATTAATGAAAAAATAGATTTCCAAAGCAGCTTTCATATTAATAGTTTTCTTTTCAGTTTTTTCTTTCAAACAGAGTTTCTCTGTTAGAGGTTTGGTATTGTACAAAATTACAAATAAAAGTTTACATTAACAAAAACAAGATAGAAATGTTACCTTATTATTCAAAGAGAAATGTAGGACGGTAAACATTAATTCAAGATAAAACACGATTTAACATTTATCAGTAAATCACAATGTTCTGTTTTATACCGCTGAAACATTTTAACTCTCAGTTTAGTTTTTTGAGAATTATATGCCTATTTGTTAATCTCATTATTGTGTTTTGATAAGTCACTATTCAATTGCTCTGTCTTGCTTTGAACAAAATATAACTTGTTTCCCCATTTTGTTTAATTATATTTGTTTACATATTGCAATAGTTTATTTAACTATTCAAAAACTCGCAACCTTATGATAAAAAAACAAGGTGATTTAAAGAGTATAATAAGACATCATTATCTGGGCGATAGAAAGTGACTAAGCAGAAATAAGATACATCATACTTTATTAAATTGCAGTAGTTCATGTCATCATTTTCAACGATTTAGATTGTAGAACGTAGTACAGAAGCAGTCTAACATAAATCACAATCAAGCACATATTACAACTGACAGCTTTTGTATTTTACCATTCACAAATAAATATCCAAATTATCACTCTCAAAGATTTGGGGGAAATTAATGGAGTTACTTGAAATCCAAACGAAACCACTTGTACATACAACCCTGTAAGTTGTCATTTAATTGCAGTAAATAAATAAATTATATCAATGATTCATTTAATGAATTTTCTTAAATCTAAAAGAAAAGCTATGCAATAACATATACTAGACTTGAGTTGCTTTCAACGACGTTAGCTATTCATTTTATTTATGCCGCGGTGCGGGTAAAATGCAAAGAGGCGACCGCGAGAGAAAGTATCGACGAAACCCGATTAGCTTCATTGATCTCTTCAGAGCGCAACTTGGTCTTTGAAATTGAACAAACAGCGGGATCTGGAAAATAGAGGGTTAAATAGGCTTGCTAATAGCTTGAGTATACAGATACAATCATTGATCCTCTTCTAACGAGATTACGGTCTCCCTTCCCCCTTTCTGTCTTTATGAAGTTATCGAGCCCCTGAACATCTTCACCAGTCGTCATCATTTCTAAAGAGACTTTCTTGTCTTATCCGGCAGATATCGCGAAAACAAAGCCCACGGGTAATTTTCAACTCCTTTCTTTTAGAGACACTCTCAAGCCTTATCGAACCCACAATCATGGAATTTGGGTGAGGAGTCAACGTCCCCGGTCGTTGCACTAGTGTATATAGCATAATAGCATTGATTCAGCAGTAATTATGATTCTATTTGTAACCCGATACCCTTTTCATTTCATTTCATTCCAATTATTACCCTGTCTAGATGCCCCCTCATCGTCTGCCTTCCATTCACCTTATCTCTCAGTCGAAACATCGCTCGATTAAATCTTTCATTGGACGGTTTAATCGTAACTCTATCCCCATGTTTTAGTTGGAGATGGCAATCCAAAGTGCGCACCACCTGCCATCCATCTGATAAAAAACAAGAAAAATAGTAATAAAAATGACACATGAAAAGCTGTAAAAATGGGACGAGAAGGACTTTTTAATATGGTTATAATTTTGCTATTGACCCTGTGACGCATGATAAAGCTACAATCCGCCACATTGATAAGATCAGTGAGAGAGAGAGAGAGAGACGGGATGCGATAGTCAAAGATGACACTTGAGTATCTATTACTCCCTCAATTGCTCCCAATTAAATGTAAATTAGTCCATCTTTCGCGACCGATAAGCATACCATCTAGTTCTACAAGAGCATGCATTTTGTGTCTAACATCAATATGGTAACAAATAAAATACAAAATCCGAAATCAAGGCATGCATTATATAATTCATTAAATATTGGCTCAAAAGCATATCAATATCTTTTCAATATTTCAGTTTCAGTTTCAGTTTAGTTTTATTTCATATTTTACTTTCACATTCTTTACATAAATCAAAAGCAATAAACATTAAGAATGAAAAGAACTGTTTATTTGATAGGTATCGAAATACATACACTAAGATTAGACACATATATTTGTAGTAAAATATGGGGGGATCCAGTAAAAAGCTCAGCTTGTAAATTGTAGATTCCCTTTTATAAGTATGAGCACCCTATTGAGAATGAGATTATATTCAATAAAAAATATGGATTTTTTTTTAATGATAAAGCATGATAGAAAGACATCTATTGAAATGAAACTGAGTTGAAAAGGGGAAAGAACTGACACCACAACCCTCAAATTAGCTTTACCAGTTTACAACTCCGAATTCTCAAACAGAAACCAATTACGAAATAAAGTTATGGGAACCATCAAATATTCTCTAAAAATGTTTTTTCAATGTTCTCATTCATTCTTGCAGGATTGCTAGATCATAAAAATGACAGTGATACTTCAATTGAGACCAAACTGAGTCTAAGAGGCAAGAAACTAAGGAAACCTAGAACCATCTATACCAGCTTACAACTCCAACAGCTCAACCAAAGGTTTCATCAGACTCAATACCTTGCCTTGCCGGAACGAGCCGAGCTAGCAGCATCACTTGGACTCACTCAAACTCAGGTAAGATACAAAGGCCATTAACATTTTTATCATCTTTGTGCACGACTGATGTCCGTTTTTATAATTACTTTTATTTCAAGCCTATAGATATCACCATCAGAGGAGAGTGGGTGCATGTGCGACACCCTTTTCTGCACTCCATTCACAGTTTATGTCGACAACGCCACTATGTCGCCACGGCTAAATTTGTCATTTAAAGATTTACGATCTTGTCTATAGTTTTTCAAATTTGAGGACCAATTATTTGTTGTTCTTTCCTGCAAAAAATATTTCATTTCGTGTCGGCAGACTTAGCCCCCCCTCCCCCTTCACAGACACACACACACACACACACATCCTCACCCACACCCCACAACCCCCCCCCCCCACACACACACACACACACATACACACATAATATGACATATAATAAAATTGGTGACTATAATTAATATGTAGATGTTGTTTACTATCCAATGATTATCAAAAGAAATAAAATATTCTAGCCAAATGAACAACAGTATAATAATTAACGGAATATCAATTTGAGGGAAATAAATGTGTTCGAAAGCTGACAGATACAGCACTTTCATAATGCTAAAGGTTAAAAAAAAAATAGTACAAATCAATTAAAGACGAGCTACGTTTGTTGTCGTATTACAATTTTGTTGTTGTTGTTGTTGTTGTTTTAATTTATAGGCGTTTTTCATTCAGAAGTGAATTCCACATTTACCGTGCAGTTTCTGCCTAGAAAAAACATTGTTAATGAAGCTGGCAGTGTACACAATGAAAGTAAAAACTTTCATAGAGATTTTTCTTTTTAAAGCTATGGGGTACATTACTTGGATCCTCCTGGGGAACTACTTCTAAATTGTAGATTTCCCTTACTTTTCAAACTTAGTTATTTGGATGTCCATGATGAATTCATCGCTAAAACTCATCTCAGTTATCTCCGTGTGTGACCAAATAAGCATCCACACAAGTGGATAACGACCTGATTAAATGGTAAGAGTAAATAAAACACCCAAATGAGTGAAACCTTATACCGTGAAAGAGAATCATCTGCATGCATTATCTAGCTTAATGGGTCCGATGTAAAGAGTTAATTAGCCAACGTACACTAGCTTCCCTTAAATAAACGACACGTAAAGTCAGTCGGACCCTAATGCAGGCTACTGACTCGTGCAGACAAGGAACGTCTCGTAATCTGACTTTGACCTGTCGAGATTAAGATCTTGTCTTATTTGTAATTGATTTCTCTCAATGTCTTTGGTGCATGGAGCGGAAGTTTTGGATACCCCATTCAGGGTACATGAACAACACATAATTATTAGCCCGCCATTATGGCGGCATATTATTAGTGATTCTATGTATGCTATACCCTTATAATCAAAAGGAAGGGAAAATTCATTGATTTGGCATTGAAAGCGTAGGGTGGAGTGAGACTGAAGCTGTTGAGTGATACATGTGGAAGGAGACATGATGTCCGAGTGGAGATAATACACGCTTTCTGAGCCAATGTCATACGTTCCGCGTTAATTACCCTACCCTTGATGCCCATTGAAAGCTAGGAGAATAGGGAGTTTATTGAGGGGGTTTTATACCAGTTGCATTCACTGCTTGAAAACAACTTAAGCGTGACAGTGGTCTATGGTGTTGGTCAACCTTCATGTATGAGGGGCCTGGTCAAGCGAGGCAAAGCACGGGCCATAATTTTTTCTTTTGGGGGCATTTTTCTCTGGTGGAATGAACTCAGTTAACATCATGATTTCGAGGACACCCTCTGAGGAAAACAAATACCGGATATGCATCAGCATATCAATTAATACCATTTAGTTTTAAATGTTATTTCAAAAGAGGTTCCACATAGTATATTGTGTTAATTAGCAGTTTCCAATCTGTGACAACAATTGTTTGATACGAAATTACTTATCCTGGTTGGATGGGAAATTTGTGTGGTAAACTGACAAGAGTTAAAAGAAAATACGCCATCAAATACATTGAAAGTTAATGTCGCAATCAGACATTTTAATTGTTTCTCACGTGTATCATTTCCCTCATTATGAATACACACGTCAACTATATCAACTAAAAAAGGAGCAAACTCCTCCGATATGTTCGTATGAAAATGACTATAAATCAAAGCCAGAATTTAAAAATGTTAATATATAATTTAGAGTAAAGGAAGAGTAATAAAGCAAATGCGTGCCTATTTGCATGACAAATTTAGACATAATGGAACAAACCAGACATAAATTGGCATTCCCAGCCTTTATTTGCTTTTTAATCATTTCGACACCTTAGAAAATCTAGACGCCGTGAGATTTTTTTCTTCTTCCTTTCTTTCCTTTTTTTCGAGGTAGGAAACCATGTCATCGATAATCCCGTCTTCACGCGGAATGAATGATACCTTTTATTCATCCCCGTGAATCTGATATATTTGCCAATGGATTAATTAAACGAGGATTTGCTCCGAGAGTCAGCCATGATTATTCTGCGCTGCCGATGAAAGGAGCAGCAGTGATCACAAAGATTATCATGAATAGAAAAGGTGTCTGAGTCGAAAATGCAATAGATATCAATTGGCGGGGAAAAGGCTTTCACAAACATTTCCTTTTCCCCCTTTCTTGTTTCTTTCTTCTTTCTGTATTCCTATTTGGTTTACTGATGGGTTTCTTCCAAAGGGCAACTCGGATAAAAAAGGAATCTTTTTTGGTGTGTTGATAACAGCAAATGAAATTCTTACCACATTGTTAGCCTTTCTTTTTGTGATGAGAATTACTAGAGGCAATTCGAGGAATGAAAAGAAGCTGTTACATTCTCCTGAATGGGAGTTAGTTGTGTTGTTATGGTGGTGAGAGCATTATTAGTTCACATTGTGGCTGACCAAAAATAAAACATGGAACTTGTGTGCGCTTGGGATTGCCATACAAGCCTTTCCCGGGGTGACGTAGATATAAACGTAGAACCAATTCCTTGTGGCTAAAATATTGACAAACTCGGTCCATTTGCTTCATCGATGGTTGTGTTACCTTCGAGTGAAATAGCCATACCACTGTTTGAACGTAGCTTGCTGCTGGCGATAACTCTTTGAAACAACATTGGTTTTTGCTTATTACGCGCCACAATGCAGCCTGACCTTGCACCAAATTGTTCCATAGTTGTTCCCCACGACCCGCGTCCAAGCCTCACCCAATCGGTGTATAAACACAACGTAGCTAATAAAACCAATCCTCATTTTCAATTTGACAATCACTTGCCGACCAATTAATCGTATTTAACGCGGACTTATGAGTTACTGGGCCCTGAGGGGGTGAAGGGGTAACAATTCATGCTGCCGCTAATTTACTCATTTCTCGACATCACAACGAACAAGGTAGCAAACTAATGACCTCTGTGAAATGATAACACTAGCGTTTCACTGCGAGGAATCAAGGTCCCATTGATGACCGGTAGAACCAGGAGCCAAATCATTGGTAGAACAGAGGCACCCATTTATTACCCGCACTTGATAAATGTGTTATAAATTCAATAGATTGACAAAATTGCTTCGTGCTCAACCCCCCCCCCCCCCCCCCAAAAAAAAAATTATATAGTGACATTCTTTCCGATTTAATTGTGGCATTCCAGCAATACCAAAATCAAGGAATAACCAAGCACGAGGGTTTTTATACAAATTTGGGGAATCAATAGAGAGTATGATAATAGTTTTGGAATAATTGTGAAAATGATATTGTGGGGTGACTAAATCGACAGATGAAATTATCCTCCATTTCGTTTTCTGAATCATGATCGAAGAAGTTAAGCCCTTATTTGTCGACATCTTGACTTCTACTTGTGCTTCTAATTGAGAGAGCAAACAAGCCTTAGGCTGTGGTAATTGGATGCGACGAGGTTTAGAATAGTTGTATCAGTCTACTGATAGTTCATGAATATCGTATACATGTATAAAAGTTTTTCAAATAAAAGGATGATTGAGGAGAAGAAGATAATAATCTAGACATTGAATCACGTTTTACCGATTGCTAACTTATTGTCAACAAATTGTTCAACAAATATATTTTTTTCTCGAAAGAAGAACTCACTATGGATAAAGATTACGAATGGATCTGAGATGTACGCACATGTTTAGCTCGGTTTAAGGATAAGAAAACTATTGAACATTAATTATTAGCACAACCATCTTCTCAAATACTATGGCTTGTATTATAACCCCACAGACACTTGCACACGCGCGCACACACACCAACCAAAGCACTGAAAAAAATATTCATATAGATTTGAAAATTATAAAAGTGCAGTTCATCGCCTCAATGTGTTTGTTGATGTTATTTTTTTTTGTTAGAGAGGAAAGAACATCATTGTGTTTTAATCTTTCCAATGTAATGTTATATCAATGTTTGAATAAGAATCATGCATTGACTTTATTAGCAATCAACTAATTTTTATCATTTATAGTACGATTAAAACAATCATTTATAAGTTTGACAAAAACGCTTTTTCAAAAATATTTTACATGAGAGTACAGTGTAGAATACCTGCATATTACCTGCAAAGGTTGATTACTATATAACAATTCATATTTTGTATCAAATCTTATTTTTAAAATAATATCTAAAGTTGAAGGGGAAAAGCCCTTATAAAACAAATTAAACCAATTCATGCAAAACAACGTATTTATTTTATTATGTTTAATAGATGAATAATTGATAGTTCCTGTATCTCATTAATATACAAGATTATATACGTATAGTTGTCACTGATATTCTTACCCTTAAATTTCCATCTTGTAAAATAGCTCTCCAAAACTTCATTTTCCCTTACACAGTATATTCCAGTGTCAAGTAACTCCTATGTCGTACTCGTCCATCAACCCTGTACCTAATGTGAGCATAGAATGGATTTCTTCTAAATTCGGACCGTCTTATAAATAACATTCTCGTCTCGGTCTGTCCATCATTCTCGTCTCATTACATACTTACCCATTCCTTACACAAATACAATATTGATTTGATGATATTGGGCTTTGATTAAACCTGTAAAGTCTCGCATGATTTGTTCATTTAATGAGATAATGTGTCCTACAACTATACCTACATGCACGTCAACAGATCATTGCAGACGAAAATTGTAGCACATTTACCCGACTTCGGTCCTATCATTACAGTCTTACAATTAACTTCGAGAGAAAACTAAGAAAGTCTAACCTCTTTGTGGTAATCAGGCGACAAAGAATCTATTCAATTGTTGATGATTGAAAAGCATTGTTTTGTTTTCGGATGAGGCTAATTTTCGTATTAATCATGCACCGTTGCTCGCATGTTGCGTTCTTCTTCTTATTATTCCATGCTCTATTCGTTTGGCGGTCTTTGACATCAAACTTAAAGGCAGATTTATTTTTATTCCAAAAGTCAAGCGCTAAGATCCAGAGATCCTAAGAATCTAATATAAGATACATTTTTTGCCAATGAACTTCACTCGTCCTATGTTGTTTGAAAGCTTATAATTATGTTTCAGAATAACTTCCCAATGCAATACGAAGACCAATAGTGTTACAACACGAATGTTGCGAATAGTTTTTTCATTAATTTACCCACGCATATGTAATTTAATTATCATCTTATTCATAAGTGTAAAATTAATAATAACATCATATTATGTTGGATTTCCATGCAGTTGCAATGGTATTTCGTTGCACCGTCAAATATAAATCAGACAAAACTAAAATTGGAAAGCGGACAGTTTGGTTAATGATAAGTCAGGGACCTTTAAAGGGTGTTGTTCTTCGTGAAAATTACAACCAACAAAAAGAGACGTTAAACCTGCTATCTTAACCAAATTGCTTCTTGTATATAGGGATTCAGGCAGCACACTTGAGTTGTTTCCTCCGTTTAACATCAATGAAAGTGTAAGACATCCGGATTTCAGCCCAAAATGGTTGCTTTGGAAGATCAATCAAGCTTAATCATCATTTCCTGCAGATTTGCTCATTTTACGAGAATACTTTCAACCTAATTCTCCTTGTTTGCTCCACCCTAGCTAATGAATATTGAAAATACCTGGGCCCTGTTTCACAAAACTTGTTATCTGTAGCACGATACGATAATTGTTATAAGCTACTGAAATCCTTGCATTTTATTTGCTGTGAGTAGATTTGTCACAGATCTGTGGCAGTTATTGTTGATAAAAAGCTTTGTGAAATAGGGCCCAGTATACCAACTTTTCCAGGATTAGTGCTATCCAATATAAACCATTTCAGGAGAAGCTGTAACGGTTTTATAAGTACATAATGAGTTGATATGGCCGGCTACGTATATCACATTGGCTTCAAGTTTTAGGTGATAATCCAGCAAATGATCATTAACCCTTTGGATACTAAGTTATAGATCAATCAGACTAGATTCTTGATGAGAATTGCGTGTTATCCCAAAGCGAAACCGTGTCCAACGAGTTAAACCAAAGTCAAGAATAGTTATATTGTTTGAAAATGTCGGCATGAGTTCTTACAAAGGGTTTTTACCATTATAGTGCACTGCTGATAAAAAATAACCGCGTATTGTTATTGAGTTTGTGCAGATGGAAGGCAAATGGAAATTGTTTGTTTTTACTTCTTGACAAATGAGATTTCCTTCATAACATTTTTTAAAAGTTTGTGTACCCTTACACAAATCTATTTGGGAAACAAAATATCGTCATCAAAAAGTGCGATACTCAAACTTTATGTGAATTAATTGGTAGAAATGTTAAGAGTCAGAAAAACGTTTAATTTATTACTAGAATTTCAAACTCCCATCGCTGACATTTTGTTGATATTTCAACCTACCTCTCGCCGATGTTGTAATTATTTCCCCATGATTTTGATAGCATGAAAGTGACTTACTCTATATGAATCACTAATGAAGATATTGTTATGCCTTGCAAAGGCATAAAAGGCTGTCACTGTTACTACCCATGTGGTTATGGCCAGTGACCATTTTTCATCCGATGATTTTGGCTTCTCTTCGTCTGTACAACATTAATAACTATCGCATTCGCTTTGCCTCGTTTTTGCAACGTTTGTAAAATTAATGTTGGTTCCTACATTAATCTGATATGAATGACAGCCGATTCTTTTTAACGCCACTTGTTTGTTACACGTGTTATAAACTTGAAAACAAGGGTTCTTATCTGTATAAAATGATGTAAACAATTTTCTTGTCTGCTTCCGATAACGTGTATGCCTCATGTGAAGATTTTTGTTTTAAGTTTGCAACTTATGTAAAAATGTGTATTGTTTTTGGTTTTAAATGGATTGCAAAATCCATTCATAAATACGATAAATATACACTATAATAAGAGACGCTTTGTAATACTATTTTATTTTAAGCGGACATTATTTTGTATATTTTAATGAACCATGTTTGTCACATACTTTTTTCATTAAAAGGTTTTTATCTTATACAATATTTATTTTTAAAACAAAACTCAATAATAACCGCTAAAATATTTTCTTATGGTTTAACACTTGTTACCAATAATTGTTAATTAATATTTACTTTTACCTCAACAATGCGGTGGTATTAGGAATGATTTTTTAAATAGGTAAAATATGGTCATTACGATATTAACACCATCAATAAATTTGTTTTCGTCTCTTCTCATCTATTCTCTCAGGTGAAGATATGGTTTCAAAATCGGCGATCGAAATATAAAAAGATATTGAAACAGCAGAACCAATCCAACAACAACAACAACAATAATAATAACTCCTCACATCCAGAGATGAACCCAGAGGCTCCCAGTCAGACGCAACACCAGCAACACGATGTCCAGACACCCCCTACAACGCCACACCCTAGGCAACAGCAACAACAACCTCAGCAACCACAACTGCCTCAGCCGCCACAGGCACCAGAAGCGGCACAACACCAGCATCAGCCGCCCACGCCCATGGGGCAAGTTGACATGCACAAAGCCTCCCCACCGCTCGCTCAAGCCGCACAGCGTGCACCGCACCATCTCAATCAACAGCATCACATGACCATGAATCATCCACTCAGTCCCCCCGGTGTTTCGGCGAGCATGCCGTCAGCGGTCCGGTGGGAGGCCGCCGACTCGGGCCGTAGCAGCGGCAGCAGCATTGCGGGGAATGTCATTAGCGTCGGAAATGGTGGTCATCCGGGAATGGACATGTCTATCCCTACGAGAGATAATTATTATCCCTCTCATACGTCCCAAAATTCGTCTACACCCCACCCTTATTCGCATCATCATCACCACCACCCTCACCCCCAGTACCCTAGCTGGTACGGGCAAGACTTAGATCCACGTACGCAATACCAGGGCGTGGCCCCTATGGCGCCGCATATATAACGCCATTTTTGCTACATTGCACAACCATGAGGACAAATATGGTCTAAGACATTCTATTTTCACAGTGATGATAAGCATTTTAAATTGTGTGTCTTAAACTAAAACTGTGCAATTTGTCAAACAACAGTTGTATTTGCACTAATAATGGACACTTTATGATACCACCGATATATTGCCTCACTATGCAAAGACGCACATAAAATTTCATCAAACAGCTTGACTTTATTTTGACTGCAAACTGATATAATTGTATTGGCTTTACACGTTACCTCTTGCAACTGAGAAATGATTTTTAAAATGGTAGATATTATTAAACAGTACACTTGATATATCACAGGGTGTGAAACATATTTGATTTGATATCAATAACGTGTTATATAAAACAGTGTGTGATACCGGCGATAAAGAGATATCATGCATTAAAATAAATACTAGAAAGTATACGCATTATACCATTTTTTGTTATTTTGTTGGTATTATATTTGAGAACTAAATGTTACGGAATAGCCGCGCAAGTTATCTCAGAGAGACATCTTTCTTCTTTTTATGTGTGTAAAGAAGTATTTTATTCTGTAAATGTTGGATTTATTACTTTACAAATGAAACGGTGATTCATGAAAAATGTTCCTTCAGAATTTCGTATAATATGTATTACGTTTGTTAATGATACGAAAGAATTGTACATTGTAAATGTGTTCAATCATGTTCTGTCGCCTGTTTATTGATTTTTTTATTGCAATTATTCCAGACCAGTTCTCGATATGACACTTCGTATCTTGAGATCTTTTCATCATAAGTCTTAGATACAATGTCTAAGCACGTTCTTCTATAACAATCTCTCAAAGGCATATCTCTTCTCAGCTTCATAAAGACACAAATTTTTTATAGAAATTGCCTTGGAATAAAACGACTGCATTTAATTATTGCGTAAAAATTAACTTAAGGAAAAAAATTAAAACTTTGATGTAACTGTAATTCAATGTGTACCAATTTTATGCTGAAACAATTTAAACATAAAATTGAGATCATTTTTTTTTCTTACCTTTTTCATGAAATGATTGTGACGATATGATGTATTATGAATGGAGGAAGTCTTAAGCTTCTCAGAATTTTATTGATCAATTTCTGACTTTTAAGATTGATAAACACAAAGTTCTGATATGATATAAACTTTTTATATCAAGAATAAACTACACTTTAATAATCATTTCATAAAAACAGGCTTTAAAAGTCCAACTTTATGAATATCGTTGTAGATAACATTTCATACTGCACATAACATCTTTGGGTCTTTACTATTACGTAAGATGATTGAGTAAAGTAACATATATTTTTACAATTTCATAATGTTCTGACTCTCTATGAAAGTACAAAGTATATGAGCATCGCTTTACTTCGATTATTTTTTCAAGCCGATGAACAATATCCTCATCAAGATAATGGAACGGAGTTCGAAGACCTCATGCTTTGTTCTTAAACACAATGAAGACAATGCGCTAATCCTAAAATTGGGGACCATCGAAAAAAAGCCCGTCATTATTTTGTTTAAGACAGTGGGCGATTTTATTTTTTTCTCTGTAAAACTAGTATACTGTATAATATATTCGGATGCTAACATGACTGTTTATAACGCATGCCGTATATCTTATACCTAAAAAATTTCATATGTCATTTCCCACCTAAGCATTTTTGTATTTTTTCATAAAAACGGAAAGCAGTTATATCAGATGTTGATTTATGAGCAAGAAGATTTTAGGGAGGGGGGGGGTATTCCCCCAACGAATTGATCACATGAAATCTGATAATGTTAAAATATTATTTCTAAGTGTTGCCTATATAGAGACATCTCATTGGCTCACGGAGTAACGATTGCCATACAAGAGTAGAGTTCACCTCAAGACAGATTTAATAAATACCAAATTAAGCATATTCCTGTCTTGTAAAGACAACAACAAAAAGTTACTTTTCTTACAATAGCAAGTAAACTGGTTTTATTCTTTGGTGAGTAAAATAATCTCATGGAAATGTAAATCTCTTGTTTTAATGTAATGCAATTATGTACTGTAAACTATAGGGCTACAGTACACATACGAAAGAAAGCGTTATTTTGTTTCAATTGTTTAAATGTTATTTCTCGTTGTTTTGAACAACATGGTTTTTAGTATAGTTCATGTATCTTCTTAGTTTATAAACAATACGGCTTTGTGAGATACTGGTTATGAAGTTTGATTTCTTTTTAATTGTTGTTTTGTCGATACTCATTTACTATAAAGTTTACAGAATTACAGCATCACGTCACAATTAATATAGTACGTTATGTAATATTCACTTCAAAATCATTTACACTTCATGCACTGAAGTTTGTACAGATCTGAATATTGATAGAACACGTTACTCGGTTATTGTTAGTATTGACTTTATCCTACGCAAGTACAAAAGTATCGGGGCGATTCTACATGGGAAAAGTCATTCCCTATCTTACAAATTGATTTGACCTACATAATTGTTTGTTTGTAGCGATTTCTTCTTCACAAACAAATACAACGCAATCTTTCGATAACTCCTTTCGCTGAAATGTTAAGAATTCAGTAGATTTCTTTTTGCAAGTTCAAATTTAAAATATGCCAAATTATGTGGTACATTCCATTACGGATATTAGGGTGATGTTTAAACTTCAATGTGCAAGAAACGGATTGTTTTGCTTACATTCGATAGTACGAGTCCCAACAGTGGGGAAATAGTACAAGTTCATGCCAAACCAAAATTATAGCGAAAAACAGTTACCTCCCATGTGGAATTGCCAATCGTAACATGGTGTCTATTTTATGTTAAAATTGGACGAATTATTTGTATTTGTTGCGTATGAACAAGATTTTTGTAAAGTTCGATGACAAGCATGTGCCACTTGGCAGAAGCAGCACAATAAAATTGGACGATATATAAAAACATCTTGCTAAAAATTGCCTCTTTTGTAACCTTGCGTGTATAATATAGCATTAACTAAAATTGAATGTGATATATGAATATCGTGATGAAATGAAAATAACTCTATCTACATTTTAGAATTAAATGTCTATGAGATGACAATTTTTAACTGACTTGTTTTTATTTTGAACTAGCAAAATTTCCTTGCACCTGCAGTAGATTATACATGTACAATTTACCTGTATGTATAATGTTGATTAGTTTGTAAATGGGTGGGGGAGGGGGCTGGCATGAGGAGGGAGAAAGTATTGTAGTGAGAGTACCAGTATAGCTATATTAAATCGGTACATCACCAATATCTTTGCTTACACAGCAAGAATTCTAATTCATCAGCTCAATTGCTTCTGAAAGAGACAGGCCATATGGCCAGAATATTTAGAATTCTTTAGACCCTGTATCATCTCTACATATTCACTCTTTGTAGATTATTAAGGTCTAGATTCCATTTCCCATTCTTCTCTTTACATGATTCTACATAATGTCTATCTGACATGCCCAAAATGCTGCTTGTGATAGAAAAACGTGTGTATCTCTTGTTACACTATGCATCATGTTGCTCTGAAGTCTGATCTATATATTCTTGTATTTTAGTTGGCCATAGACGTAGTGAGGGTGTGAAAGTTGATGTGAAAGACTTCCAGCTGTATGTCAAAGACTGTCTCCAACATACAACCATTATGACAGAGAAGTATCCCAACTTTCCCTGTTATAGCCTTTGGTCGTCCTATGGTTTGTACATGTATACAGTTTAAAACTAAATTATTCATACCCTTGCTAAGTTTTGTAATTTTTTTTAAGTCTGTAAAAAATGTACTTGTTCTGATTTATGTTTCTTGAGAATGTGATATCTAAAAGTATTCAATGAAGGCGCTAATTTAATCAGTCCACTCTTTATTCTTGAGTTACGAAAAAACATAAAACAAATTTACAAGAGATATGAATAATTCTGTACACTCAAAAAGTTGTCGTATTTTGTTCCTATTTCTTCTGATAACTTTATTGATTAATTCCCATGATTCTTAAAATTGATCAAAAAATTTGTGAGAAGATATAAACTTTTTCTATCAAGGATAAATTATTCTCCCCACAATCACTTCGTGAAAAAGGATAACAAATATGTATTTCAACTTTATGGGCAATGTGTTATTGGCGTCAAGATTAAAAAAAGGAAATCAAATAGGATTGTTTATTTATAAATTGTTTACTATTACGCTAATTACTCCGTCACCCTTTCTACATAAATTTTACGAGACGATGCCAGTCCATATCCTAGTTATAACATTTATTTAAGCTTTTATATCGAATGTTAACTTGAATTTTAAATAACATCAAAACATGTGCATATTATGATGTTTGTTTTAATGCCTTTATTGATATTTTAAGATATTTAACTACAGGTTGGTCGAATGATATTGATATTTATATATGACCCCTAAAAAGTAGAGAAAAAAACTTTATGTGATGAATACATGGAGAGACGACCATAAGTAACTTACGTAAAACACATGCCCCTTAAAGGGAGTGAAAAAGTGTATAATTTCATATCATATCATGCAAGCTTCATATTTTAATCTAAAATCGCGAGAAACATCCACAGATCCAACAGTCTAAAAACCATTTTGTTTTTCCTTTGATTGCAAAACGTTTCAAAAGTTTCAACAAAGTTACTGACTGGTAAAGAAAAATAATTCACTCGACGTCACAAAACGAAAAACCTTTGTAGAACATCGTCTTAAATAATACGTTTGGAAAAGAAAATGTTCCAACATTTGACGAAGAAAGGGAATCTATGATTTGATTCGGATAATCACTGGTTGGTTTATTGCCGTTTTACGGAAATAGTTCTTGATGCCCAAACATTTATCTCTCGACCCCAGACAGACTTGTGATTAAAAACAGGCTATTAAAAAGAAATATAGGGCTTTGCTTAAAGTGGAAACGTTTTGAGGGGACTGTATCGGTGGGTAGTTACGTTGTTTTTTTTGTCTGGTTATGTTATTTTGCGAGATGTTTGTGAAGAAGATGGAAGATGGTGACGCCATTTGATGGAGTGATTTTTTGGAAGGATGTGAAAAATTGAATGGGGGAGTCAGGGACACTATGTCACAGAGCTTTGGTGTGGACGAGATTCAGCGAGATGCAGTAACCGTGAATGTATGGAGAAAGCATAGTATCAATGGCGGGCGGCAGGTCCTAGACAGCACGGCGCTTCTTCAACCATCCTCACTCAATTGTATTCTTTCAATACTAAGTAAAGAAACTTTTCTCACAATGATAATATTGTTTGGTGTCGAGAGCCTCTCCGGCCCAAGCACACCCCCTCTTCCCCTTTCATTTTGTTGTTGTTGATGTTGTTTATTTTCTATGCCTTGTTTCTCTTCTTATCGCATGGCGTCTTGGGTGCGTTTGATAAAAAAGAGGTTATATAAAGTTGTGAATTCTTCTTGAGATGGTCCTCTGGGTTGTGAAGTGGTAGTGTTTCGCCTGCTTTGTAACGCGGCGCGCTGGGACTATTACTGTATTGATTAGCTGGGCTCCAGCCATTGTTAGCCTCACCGATAGTGCTTGTGTGGCGCTTTTGATGTGACTCTGGCCCCATTCTTTGCGGAATCAAAAGACGCATTGGAAAGACCTCTCCAATGATGGGCATAGTCTTCACCGATTGCTAAAACACGGTCTGGATTAGGGAAGCTCTACAATCGACGGTATTCGAATAATGAGATTATAACCGCAACTCAAAGTGTGTAATGAAGTGAACGCGCTCTC